TGGTGCGTTGTGTGTTGCGTGTTGCGTGTTTTGCGTTCTGTGTTCTGTGTTGCGTGTTCTTTTTTGTGTGTTTTGTGTTGTGTGCTGTGTGTTGTGTGTTGTGTGTTGTGTGTTGCGTGCTGCGTGTCGTGTGTCGTGCGTCGTGTGTTGTGCGTTGGTGTGTTGTGTGTGTGTTTGTGAATTTGTGTGTGCTTGTGTGTTTGTGTGTTTGCGTGCTTGTGTGTTGTGTATGTTTGTGTATGTTTGTGTGTGTTGGTGTGTGTGCTTGTGTGGGGTTGAGCGGGTACGCGGGTGCTTGCTTGCTTGCTTGGCTTGGCTTGGCTTGGCTTGGCTTGGCTTGGCTTGGCTTGGCTTGGCTTGGCTTGGCTTGGCTTGGCTTGGCTTGGCTTGGCTTGGCTTGGCTTGCTTGTTGCTTGCTTTGTGCTTGCGTTGGCTTGCTCTTGGTGTCTGGCAGAATTTTGGGTGTGGCAACGGTGACGAAACACGCTGTTCATTGTCAAGGAGCTGGAGGGTTTAACGACAGCTCGAGGGTCACCAAGCGCGGTAGCACGCTCAGAGCACGGACCACCCGGAAATGTGAGATCTTCAGCGTCGGCAGGATCTGGCATGCGGCGGGATGGATTGCGTGCACCATAGCACTACAGAGACAAACACTCAGACTGAGACAGGAAAAAGGAAAGGAAGACGAGCAAGACGAGAAGAAGAGAGAGAGAGAGAGAGGAAAAAAAAGAAAGAAAGACGGCAAAAAAGAAAGAAAGCAAGCAAGCAAGTCAAAGAAAGAAAGAAAGAAAGAAAGAAAGAAAGAAAGGAGGAAGAAGGCAAGAAGAAATAAGAAAGGAAAAAAAAGAAAGAACAAAGAAGAAACAAGAAACAAGAAAGAAGAAAGAAGAAAGAAGAAAGAAGAGAACAAAGAACAAAGAACAAAGATGCAAGAAGAAAGAAAAATGAAGAAAGAATAAAGAAAGAAACAACAAACAAAAAGAAAGAAGCAGGAAGACAAAATACAAAGAAACAAGAAAGAAGGAAGGAAGGAAAGAAGACAAAAAGAAAGGAAGGCAGGAAGGAAGGAAGGAAAGAAATAAATAAAGAAAGAAAAAAAGAAAGAAAGAAATAAAGAAAGGACAAAACGACAGGCAGACAGACAACTAACAGCCGCAACCTATTTGAACAACAGCTGGCAAGCGGGGACCAGCAAACGAAAGATGTGGCTGTCAGGACGTAAAAATACATCCAAACTTCCCACAGCCGGGCACCAAGCCCCGGAGCTGCGAAGGGGGCGTCTCATGCAGGGCATCCAGCACCCCTGAGGTCAGATTCTCCTGGCCAATCCGAGCCAATCGGAAGCCCACTTGTTTTCCAGGAAGCGCGGGTCCTCGTTGTTCCCCAGGTCCAGTTTGCGCAGGTTGGGACAAAGAGCCAGCAGTCCTTGGGAGCAAAGGCGGTAGATATCACGATGCTTCAGCCGCCCGAGGCCCCCTGAATAGAACCCTGGCAGCAGGCATGGCATGGCGTGTCATGGTGTGGCACTTGCGCTGCTCTCTCGCTTCACTGGCTCAACGCACGACGAAAGACCCATTAGCTTGGCTCAAGTTTCCTTTGGAACGGCGCGGACACGGGGCCTTGCTTGACAAGCGTCGCCGCACATGTTGGTCAGTCAAGGTGGGTGTGCGCAGTACGATACTCTCCTTGCCAGGCACGATTCCCCTCCGTGCTATGATCCAGCATTTGCTTCCATCACTTGTTTTACTCTTTACAGTAGCTTCAGAACTCTCGCGCTGTAACACTGCACAGAATGTGGTGAGTAAAGAAGCCCCGAGATTGCTAGGCCGCTGTCGGCCTCACAGGGAAAAAGCGTTAACTAACATCTGCACACCCAGTTCAGGGCTGGTCAAAATGGACTCGGGGTGGAACTGCACGGCTGCAATCGGCAGCGTTTTGTGCTGAATGCCCATGAGGATTGGCTTGTCTGGCTCAATGCCATCTCCGGAGGAGAGGCCTGGCATCACAGTGGCTGTCTCCAACAGGCACTCGGGCAGGGGCCGCAGGCCGTAGAGGGAGTGATACCTCGCCACCACGAAGCTCGAGGGCAAGGTCTTGAAGATGGTTCCTGGCTCTCGGACCTGAGCATGAAGCTGGCCGAAAGGCAAGCCCCGAACAAAACCAGCCCAAATAATGCCTGGTCTTTTGGAGATCCCGCCTGCACCTCGGTGGGCTTGCCGTGCATGGGCAGCGGCAGCTGGCCGAGCCTCCCCCCGAAGTGCTCCACGATGCTCTGCAGGCCCAAGCAAACCCCGAAGATGCGGCAGCCCAAAGTCAGCAGCCTCTCGATGTGCTTTGACACCCCGAAGTCCGTGGGCCGACCAGGGCCAGGAGACAAAACCACGAGGTCCGGCTTGGCCGCGGCCAACATGTGCTCTGCCTGGGTGTGTCTGACCGTTGTGACTGTTGCACCCGTCTGCCGGATGTAGTTGGCCAACGTGTGGACGAAGCTGTCTTCAAAATCGATGAGCACCACCCTGTGGTTCTCCTGCGTCTGCACCAAGCTCGGAGCTCGCGGGACTTCGCTTGGCACGTCATGAGGGTTTCTCACCGCGTTCAGACACGCGGATGCCTTCAGCTCCGTCTCCTTCTCCTCGGACTCCGGCACGCTATCAAAAAGCAGCGTGGCCCCTGCTCGGACTTCTGCCACGCCTTCCTTGATGCGCACTGTGCGCAAGGTGAGGCCGGTATTGAGGTGCCCGTCAAAGGCCACGTGGCCCACGGAGGCCCCATACCAGCACCGCTGGGATGGCTCCATCTCCTCCACGAACTGCATGGCCCAGGCCTTGGGTGCCCCACACACCGTCACGGCCCAGGTGTGCACCAGAAACGCGTCGATCGCATCGAACTCGGGGCGCAGGTAGCCCTCAACATGATCGACCGTGTGAATCAGCTTGCTGTAGAGCTCGATCTGTCTCCTCCCAATGACTTGTACGCTGCCGTGCTCGCAGATTCGAGACTTGTCGTTACGATCCACATCTGTGCACATGGTGATCTCCGACTCTTCTTTGGGATCTGCCAGGATCGTTTTGATGTTCTCGGCATCCTCCAGTGCATCCTTGCCTCGCCGAATGGTGCCGGAGATCGGGCATGTCTCGACCCGAAGGCCCTTCAGGTTGCTCTCCACTCGCACAAACATCTCAGGGGATGCCCCCACCAAGTACTCCTCCTCACCCAGGTTCATCAAGAAGCCATAGGGCGAAGGGTTCCGCCGTTGCAGGCAGTGGAAGACCTCACTGGGCCGGGCCTTGCAGGGCTCCCGGAAGGTCTGCGAGAGGACGGCCTCGAAAAGGTCCCCCCGCTTGAACTTCTCCTTGGCAACGTCAACCTGCTTGGCAAACTCCCCCGGCTTGAGCTCGCGGCGGTCCTTGCCGGGGGGCATCTGTGTCCTGGCCCACAACTGGACTCAAGCCGCAACTTGGCACATCGCGTTGAACACAACTGCAACGCGCCAAAGCAAACTAACTTGGGGCGTGGCCGTTCTACATCTCACCTCTTGCACCAGCACAATCCTGGGCTTGAAGTGCACCTCGGGGCCCTTGTCGTGCATGCCCTTGGTGCTTAGGATCTTTCCGCCGGCTGCAAAAGCAAAGTCATACTTCATGCGCCAAGCAGACTGCATCTGGTGGTTGATGATCAGCATGTTGTCGGGGATGTACATGACCAAATCTCGTTGGCTGGGATCCCGGTCCTTGTGGAGCTTGATGTTCTCAAACTGGAAGGCGAGGTCGTAGCCGAAGGCCCCGTACAGGCCTAGGTGCGAGTCCTCGTGTGACTCGAAGATGTTGACAATGGCGCGGACCACAGAGAAGACGCTTGGCTGCTTTGATCTATCCTCCTCCGCAAAGTAGCCCTCTGTTTGCTTGACCTCGCCCTCAATCTTGTCAGAGCCCACCTTCCTCGGCAAAAGCAAGCAAGACTCGCCAAATAGCCGGCGATTCCTGGTTTACCCGGTGGTTTAATCCTCCACCAGGCAAACCCATCTATTTCCCCGAGAAGGACGCCTAAGCACTGGCGCCCGAGGGGCTGCACCGCGGCCACGGCCGGCGTGGCCTGCAGGGCCTCCAGCAGGGTGGGCAGGAAGGGCCGGCCCCGGCAGTTCAGCGCGCTGATCCGGAACTTCCGGCTCCAGGCCTCCAAGCACACCGGGGGGTCCACAAAGCCCAGGCTCCATTGTCCGTACCTCAGGGTGCAAGGGGCAGGTCTTTCTTGGTGCTGGGGTGCAAGGGGATGAAGAGTGGAAACTTGAGAGGCTGGTAGGTGGCAGGTGGGATGCCCCTGGCCAAAAAAAAGGGCAGCGCGAACTTGGCGACAGGCTGCGGCCATCCAAACCCCCAAAAGAGTGGCAATCTCGGAGGCCAAAAAGGCCAAAAAGGCCTTTTTGGCCTTCCGCGCACGCATGCCGCGTGTCCGTTTCTCCGCTTGCCCCGCCTGCCCGGATATTCGTAGGAGGAGGACAGGAGGACGCCGCGGCTCCGGTCCAAGTGGGCGCTGAGCTCCTGGACCTCGGTCAAGGGGTCCTCCACTTCCAGGACCTCAGCCGCGCGACACCGACGCCGGGCTTGCTGCGTCCATGGGCTTGCAGCATTTTTTGTCACCGAGTCCATGTCCATTTTAGACCAAAAGGGTATTCCATGCCCTTGGGACAGCATTTGAGGTGGGATCCAAGTTCGCCATGGGGGGGTTCTCCACACAGCTCCGTTGCCTTTTCGTCCGCACTCGCCTCAGAGATGACCACCACCTGCCCTGCGGTCACGTAGGTCTGTGACCGGGGCTTCGCGCTGGGCGCCCCGAGGCTGGGCAGCTCCTCTCCGAAGGCGAGGTCCCGAGGTCCCGACTTAGACCGTTCCGACCAGGACCGGTCGGGGAATCTCCAGTGATGCAACAGAAAATGTTTGCTTCCCAAAGACGAACCCCCTGGCAAAGATTCAATTTGGTATCACGGAAAAGTGGGGAGAAACCCCTTGATCCCACAACCTGGTTTCTCACTGGTAGCTGGGGCTTGGCCTTAGGATTCATTGCGTTGATGAAATTGCCTTGATTTAAGAAGTCGACTTGGAGAAGATTGTGACAGAATCAACCTGTCCTTTCCACCCACGGCATAGCTTCTCGCCCGCTTCGCGCTGCCATTGCTGTCAGTGGCAGAGTCACGCTTCATTTCAGCTCCACGTGCCCCGTCTTGGCACAAGCCCCTTCGAGGGCTCGACTACTGAGAGCTCAAAAAAGGTCAGGTAGCTCTCTTGAGCGGAATGCTGCCAAAGCACAATCCAACTCTATGCAACGTCGGGCAACCTTGTCCGACTCCAACCAAACACAACTGCTGATTAGCGCCTTACAAAGCAAAACTCAGAGCCTGAGCCAACAGAAAGCTGTCTGGCTATAGCTCAGCAAAGTTCAAGCTGGTGTCCCAGAAGCATTCGATCAAGGCTCCAGAAATGTCAGCTTGCCCTGGCTGCATGATGCGCGCTCCTCCTCGGCAAGCATTTAGGAGCTTGCGCATACAAGCAAGGCTCGTATCTGAAATTCCAGCATGGTAAAGAACGGACCCGTGCCAATTCATGCTGATTGCTGGCCTGTTCCTTCGCCTGACAAACCACTTACCCCAACTGCACCCTTCCAGCAACTCGGGCGGGGGGCTCTTGCCGAGGCACCAGCCACCTCAGCACTGCCTCGACATGGCCCCGGAAGTTGTCGCCGAGCTCCAGCTTGGGCACCAGGCCCCGGACCCGAGAGAGCTGCCTCGCGGCTTGGGCCGATCGCAGAACCAATCCAAGGCGTCTGACTCCGCAAGGGCGACGCTCTCTAAGTTTATGTTCTTATGGTAGGTGGGGAAAAGCACCCCAAAAAATCAAGATCAAACAAACCCCCTCCAAGCCAAGAAACTCCTCTCGGCGAGTCACTCAGTGGACCCAAGTCACTCAAAGCTCCTGCCTCAACTGCTGGCAGGACGTCTCGGCGGCGACCAGGCTTGCAGTGGGCAGCCAATCCAAACACAGCGAGAGCTTGTGCAGCGGCAACATGGCGGCACGCGCATCTAGGGCGACAGAACGGCAAAATGATCGCTGCATAGCCTCAAAATTTGTCTGAGGTTCTTCTAGACCTCCACATGTGGGTAGAGGCACTGTTGCGCATGCAACTGCAGAGTTTCGCTCTCATGAAGGCATGGTAGCATGTAAGCTCCAACACGCTGCAAACCTCATGCTCTTGCAGTTGTTACCCGATCCATCCCAAGTCTTGAGCACGCAGCAGAAAAGTCACATAAACTCGTTCTGCCTTGCCAATACTCTGCATGCTCTGCAGCATATGCAATTCGCCCCAGCAAAAACACCGTGGGCCTCTTCGACATCCCGTCCTGGAGCAAGGACTAAGCGAGAGCTCTGCGTTGCCCGGCAGTTGGGCGCACTACAGAAGATAGAAAAGAACCCTCATTCCTCTGCCCCTTACAACATTTTGGCAGGGATGGGCAGGGCGCAAATGTTTGTGCATGTTTGCAATGCCCTCGTGTACTTTTCATCCCTTTCCACACCGCAGCGAACATACCAACTGAGCATTCGGCCGAGAGCGGCTGGCCGAGTCAACGGAGCTGGGCTTTCCTGCGGGCCACTCTGCCCGCAAGCTTGAGGCAGTCAAACTGGGTAAAATGTCAATCCGCCCAAATCCGCAAAAAAAACTGGCCAAAGGGGCCACGTATCTTTTCTGACTCCCTCTGTCCTCCAAGCGCTCGAGCATCCGCGGCACTGCGGTGGGTAAAGCTCCTGCGTGCCGTGGCAGTTACGGCAGTGCGTGGCTCCAAAAGCGAAAACAACACCCACGATGAAAGCTGGGTTCCTGGCCAGGTTTGAAGGTCTCGCTTCCTGCCCAAGCATTGCTGAAGCCCTGCCTTGGCAAACCGTGCCGAGACCCTAGGGACAAACAGCATGCGCCTGATGGAACCCGGCATGTCCTCGTTTTTTCCACCAATTTTCTCCCCCCCCCCCTCCGCCATGTGGATGTTTGCTCCTCATGTTTGTCATGTTCTTCCCTACGTACAGGCATACAGTGGATATGCATATATATGTATATGTATATATCATACACACAATTTCTCAATATGACAAAGCACAATGTAATAAATTTAACTACAACGTAATATAACATGAAAATACAGTACATCACCATGTGCAATGACATGGTATAACATAATGTGATATATGTTCACAGTACATATGATGTAATGTAATGTGATGTAATACAGAACAGCGTAGCATACTATAACATAACGTGATCTAACACAACATAATTGTTCACGCAAAATGTATAACATTAAAATATGCAACGGTATAGGCATAGAGATCTATAACATATCACATACACTATGATATACTTGATGTTGTGGTAGTGAATTTGATTCACGTATAAATATGTGTAATATCCGCCGACCCTTTCTCTAAAAAGGGGAGGCGCACGGGAAGGGTGGTTGGCGATAAGTTTAACCAAAGTTTCATCCTGCTTCTCTTATCCTGATCATCATTATCATCATGGTCGTCGTCATCTCTTATCACGCAGCATTGGTGATGCAGAGGATGCTACGATGATAGTTATCATCACAGCCGTTAGTGATGCCAAGGAGGCCACGATGATAATTATCCGCGGGTGATAACGATCATCACGCCCGTGCCATTATCATCATGGTCGTCGTCATCTCTTATCAGGCAGCATTGGTGATGCAGAGGATGCTGCGATGATCGTTATCATGACAGCCGTTGGTGATGCTAAGGATGCTACGATGATATTTATCATCCTTGTCATCATCTTTATCATCATCTGATCATCACCTAGCATCATCTGATATCTTATTATATATACAAATGAAAAGGGACGCTAGACATCCTTGGCAATGCAAAAGATGCGATGATAGATATCAAGGAACAAGTAGTGATGCAGAGGATGTTGTGATGGTAGTTGTCATGACGCGGATGATAACGATCATCACGCCCGTGCCAGTATCATCATGGTCGTCGTCATCTCTTATCACGCAGCATTGGTGATGCAGAGGATGCTGCGATGATAGTTCTCATCGCAGCCGTAGTTATGCTAAGGATGCTACGATGATAGTTCTCATCCTTGTCATCATCTTTATCATCATCTGACCATCACCTAGCATCATCTAATATGCTATGATATATAGAAATCAAAAGGGACGTTAGACATCCTTGGCAATGCAAAAGATGCGATGATGATTTTTCTCAAGGAACAAGTAGTGATGCAAAGGATGTTGTGATGCTAGTTGTCACGACGCGGATGATAACGATCATCACGCCCGTGCCATTATCATCATGGTCGTCGTCATCTCTTATCAGGCAGCATTGGTGATGCAGAGGATGCTGCGATGATAGTTTCATCACAGCTGTTAGTGATGCTAAGGACGCTACGATGATAGTTATCATCCTTGTCATCATCTTTCCCATCTCATCATCTGACCATCACCTAGCATCATCTAATGTGCGATGATATATAGAAATCAAAAGGGGCGTTAGACATCCTTGGCAATGCAAAGGATGCGATGATGATAATCATCAAGGAACAAGTAGTGATGCAGAGGATGTTGTGATGATAGTTGTCATGACGCGGATGATAACAACATCACGCCTATCAGGCAGCATTGGTGATGCAGAGGATGCTGCGATGCTCGTTATCGTGACAGCCGTTGGTGATGCTAAGGATGCTACGATGAGAGTTATCATCCTTGTCATCATCTTTCTCATCATCTGATCATCACCTAGCATCATCCAATATCTTATTATAAAAAGAAATCAAAAGGGACGTTAGACATCCCTGGCAATGCAAAGGACGCGATGATGATAGTTATCCAGGAACCAGTAGTGATGCAGAGGACGCGGATGATAACGATCATCACGCCCGTGCCATTATCATCATGGTCGTCGTCGTCTCTTATCACGCAGCATTGGTGATGCAGGGGATGCTGCGATGACAGTTATCATCACAGCCGTTAGTGATGCTAAGGATGCTACGATGACAGTTATCATCCTCGTCATCATCTTTATCATCATCTGATCATCACCTAGCATCATCTAATATCTTATTATATATAGATATCAAAAGGGACGTTAGACATCCTTGGCAATGCAAAGGATGCGATGATGATAGTTATCCAGGAACCAGTAGTGATGCAGAGGATGTTGTGATGGTAGTTGTCATGACGCGGATGATAACGATCATCAGGCCCGTGCCAGTATCATCATGGTCGTCGTCATCTCTTATCACGCAGCATTGGTGATGCAGAGGATGCTGCGATGATCGTTATCATGACAGCCGTTGGTGATGCTAAGGATGCTACGATGATAGTTATCATCCTTGTCATCATCTTTCTCATCATCTGATCATCACCTAGCATCATCTAAGATCTTGTTATATATAGAAATCAAAAGAGATGTTAGACATCCTTGGCAATGCAAAGGATGCGATTATGCTAGTTATTCAGGAACCAGTAGATATGCAGAGGATGTTGTGATGATAGTTGTCATGACGCGGATGATAACGATCATCACGCCCGTGCCATGATCATCATGGTCGTCGTCGTCTCTTATCACGCAGCATTGGTGATGCAGGGGATGCTGCGATGATAGTTATCTTTGCAGCCATTAGTTATGCTAAGGATGCTACGATGAGAGTTATCATCCTTGTCATCATCTTTCTCATCATCTGATCATCACCTAGCCTCATCTAACATCTTATTATATATAGAAATCGAAAGAGATGTTAGACATCCTTGGCAATGCAAAGGATGCGATTATGCTAGTTATTCAGGAACCAGTAGAGATGCAGAGGATGTTGTGATGATAGTTGTCATAACGCGGGCGATAAAGATCATCACGCCCGTGCCATTATCATCATGGTCGTCGTCATCTCTTATCAGGCAGCACTGGTGATGTAGAGGATGCCTCGCCCCCACCGAGGTTCGAGCCCCGGGCCAGGGTGCTGCTGAGAGAGGTGCGATCACCGACTGAGCTTCGGGGTCTTTGGGGTGACAAGGCAGCCAGCCGAGCTTGTCATTGTTTCGTCATCGTTTCTGTTTCCTCGGTTCTGCGAGGTATGTCATCGTTTGTGTGGCAGACGTCATTGTGTCTGCGGCACGCGTCGTCGTTTCAGCGTCACAAGTCATCGATTCCGCGATGTCATCGTTTCTACGATGATCGTTATCATGACAGTCATCCATTGCCCAATTGTTCAGTTGCATCCTTGTGTCTCTTTTCTAGCGAGCTTTTTGTCAGGGAAAGCACCTCAACTTAATATTTTTTTTAATTTGAGGTGTGGGAGTGGCATCCTTGTCTCTTTTTCCTGGTGAGCTTTTTGTCAGGGAGAGCACCTCAAATTAAAAAATACATAATTTGAGGTGTGGGAGACTTTGTTTTGGGCTGCATCATCGTCATCATCATCATCATCCTTCTCATCATCATACGGCCGGCTGAGTCACAATCAAGACCAGGTTAAAACATGCAAGTAAAAATCAAAAGGGCAGCTGCACCCATTGATTGGGGCTGTTTCCCGAACTTCCCTTTCCTAGGCCCAACAAGCCAGCCGATTCGTGCGCCGACAGGGGTCGGCGGCACATGGGCGGCAGCCCTTAAATATATACATATATATATATATATATGTGTGTGTGATTAGATGCCCGGTTCCAAAACAAACGAGAAAGGGAAGCGTATATGTGTGTGTGTGTGTGCGTGCGTCTCAAGTCACGTGCTTTCATGTTGCCAAGCGCGTGTTGACAGAGTGTTGGCTCAGGCCCGCCGAGTGGTTGTCTGTGTCTCACCCTCGAGTTTCGCTGCTCAAGTCCAAGCAAACCAGTTGGGTTTCCCCACTTCGAGGTGGACACAAAAATTGAACAAACGATCGCCGAACTTCTACTTACAGCAGTCCAAGCTAACTGGAGCCCAAAGTCCCCTCGCCGAGGCTTCCGGCTGGGGCTTACGCCGTGCCCCTGGCGCTGCCGTGGCTTCGGAACGGGAGGCAGCTTCCAAACAAGGCGGTGCGGCCGAGGCTGTGGCACCTGACCGTCAACTGGCTGTGCGTCAAAACTAAGTAATCAAAATGGAAGGACTAAAACCTGCGGTCCCCTGGTGGTTTAATTTTGACCCATACCCAATTGAGTGTCTTTGGCGCCGCACAGCGCTGGACGTGGAGCTTCTCTTGAATTGAATGCTACCATGCAACGTTTGGGGCGAGCGCTCCCGCCCAGCAGCGCTTTGCAGCTGGGACGCCGGCACGGCTTCAGCGACAGCTCCATTCCTGCTCAACCCGCAAGAAGTCATTCACAGTGCGTAGTTGCCCTCTCAAACTGGCAACCGGCTACAGCATGCGGCAGCACTTCTTGAACAAGGCCTCTCCACTGTCGCGAGCACTGCCTCCCATCACTTGCAAACCCTCATGCCGCAGCGCACGACATACCGCCTCCATGACTTTGACGCATTCGGCTTGCTCGCCTGGGTTGCGCACGTTTCCTGCACCCCTCCGCCAACCCAACCCGTGGTGCCGCCCCCCCCCCCCGCTCGCCGGGCCGCGGCCCACGTTCCGCTCCAGGCGTGCCAAGCGCTGCGCCAACTTCCGCAGGCGCTGCGCTTGCAGCAGACGCTGCGGGCACAGCGTCTCCAGCACCCGCGCCCGCAGCTGCTGCAGCGCCCCGGCCGCCTCCGCCTAGCCACGAGCCCAAGCTGGAGCCAGAGACATGGATGGCGTTTGGCGGGTTCAAGAATGGAAGGGTTCAAGGCTGCCTCTTAGCATTCGTTGTGACATCTCTCTGTGTCTCTCTGTGCCTCTCCGTCTGTCTGTGTGTGTGTGTGTCTCTCTGTCTGTCTGCCTGTCTCTTTCTCACTCGCTCGCTCGCTCGTTCGTTTGCTTGTTTGTTGGCTGGTTGGTTTGTTTGTTTGTTTGCGTGCAACAAATCTTTTTTGGGGTTGTCTCTACAATCGACTGCTGTTCCAAAAGATGGTTCTTGATGCTGCTCAACGGTATGGCCCTCGAGCGGGCCCACCCCTCAGGAAGGTATTTGAGTGGAAGGTTTGGTGCAAATGATTGACACCACTCTCTGCTTAGCGTGCTGCCACTGCAAAAATATTCGTGTCCTGCAACTACGTCAACGCAGCCATCAGAATGCCTGTGAATCTCAAAGCCAGCGCCTCCCCTCCTGAAAGTGCACCGCTGATCAATTGGGTTGGGATCTGCTGCCGGGTTTGACAAATGCCTTGATGGAAATACTTCACCACATGCTTCACGGCAGATTTTTCTTCTTAGCCAAACAGCCCTCACTCTTCACATGCTTATTGCACTCGTGATCGCATTTGTGCGTGTGTCTTTATTGGCGCACATTGACAAGATCAGACGGAATGCCAAGCTGCTCTGGCCCGCAAACTTCGGCCAACGCTTTGAAGAGAAAGTTTGCTGCCGGCACCGAAAAGCCCCAGGTTCCACAGAAGCCGCGCACCTGCTGGGAATCCATGTGCTGCATGGTCACTTCCAACAGCTCCTCGCAGAGCTAAAGCTGGAAAGGTGCTCACAAAGCGGAGACATACCCAACCAAATGACATCGGGCAGGCCAGCCTGAAAGACACCATGGCAAAGGGTAGCCTGAACCCTTTGCAAGCAGCCACTCCTGAAGCTCCGCCAGCTGCTCGTTGATGCGGGCGATGCGCAGGGCAGCGGGTTCCAGGGCCGGCAAGCCAGCCTCGGCAGCGCCTCGCCGGACATAGCTGAATGAAGAAAGCCAAATGCTGCCACTCAGTCTCACAATGTTGACCTCCTATGAATCAACCCCAGTTTCCTCCTAGTAATGAACTGGTTAATATTTAGCTGCGGATGTGCCAACACCATTGACATTTAGGGCATCCCGTGTCCAGTCTCTCGTTGAGCTGTGGCCCTAAATGGCTCAAGGCGGCCTGGAGTAAATCCATGCCGCGAGGCCAGTGTTGGCAGGTATCCATTCGGCTGGGCTGACCTTCAGCGAAGCGAAGCGACTTTTGGCTGCTGCACCGGTTGGTCTGAGAAACAAGCACTACATTGATCCAAGGGGCATGGTCAGGCGCCATGCTGGAGGCTGCAGGCTATTGTTCAGAGGTTCTAACAAGCTTGCACCTGTACTCGTCCCAACCATGTCACCATGTGCAACCCGTCTGCAAAATAAAGATGTGTTGGCTCCTGTCGAACAGTTTAGTCACGCGAGCCGGCTCACTCTGCGAAGTGAACCTGTATGGGCTGGTGGGGTGAGGCGGTAGCGATCTGCTTTTTCCAAGAGCCACCGCGTTGGCAGTTTGCTCTGGAGTGCTCTGCCTGAGCCAGCGGGCCCTGCATTGCATAAAGCACAATGCTGCCCCAAAATACGGTGGGCCAGGAGCTGGCACTGTCAAAAGTCTGCGTTGTGCAGGCCTCTTCTCTTTGTACACCCTATCTACAGATCGCAGCAAGCAGATCGCGCGCACAGCGTCGCAGGCTTGGGCACCCAAAACTAAGCAGAGAGCGTTGCCACAGGCAGGGCAGCGCCGATTCGCTGTGACAAGGTCCCATTTGTCAAGCTCTTGAGGCGGCGTTGGGCATGGCTGGAGGAAGAGCCAAATGAGAACTCTGACGCCACAAAAGAGCCGAGGCTCAGTGTCTCGCCCTCCATGGTGGTCTCTCCCGCCACCTCGGCTTCGGAATCGACCTTGGGCTCAGTCTCGCTTTCCGTAGGTTTGGCGCAGGGTATCGCCATGAGCATGACGCTCAGCAGCATGCAAGCAGCCCCAACTAGCGTGAGACACTGTGGCATCTCCTGCGCAAAAGGTGCATGAAAGCCAGTTGCAACGCATGCTTCTTGATTGGTCGTGCGCTGGATACGTGTTTTTGCATTCCGCGCTGCCTGAAAGAAGAGCATCTGCGACAAATAGCCAGACACCATGCAGGATGACGTAAAGACCGTGGCACTCACTGCAGCTGGGCATCGGGTTGAGCCTGCAACGGGCAAGGCAGATAAGGCTTCCCCTGCACCAGCGCACGAACCTCAAACCAATGGACGAGTCCAAAGCTGCAAAAAACATTGCCTGCTGCTGGCAGCGTTATGGAGAGAGCCGTCCAGGCTGTGAGCAAAGCCAGCAACCCCAGCATCATCCAAGGCTGTTCAGACATACCCTGCCAGGAGTCATGTCGGCCAGGCAGCATCGGCGGCACTAAAGACATGGGCACCTCAGAGGCGAGACACCCGAAGCTCGGCTGCGCACTCTGGGGCTATTGACAAACTGCCCCCCTTTTTTGTGCGAGCCAGGCGCTGACATCAACATGCTGCTCAAGGAGAGCACGGCGCAAGAGACATGCACAGACTTGCGGGCGCACACGAAGGAACCTGCCTCGAGGGCTGAGATACAAAACTCAATGTTCCAAATCAAGCCAGCACAATGGCGCTGAAACCGGGTGAGTCATGGGAATTAGTGAAAAGAGCAACAAGGGTCTAACAAGTTCCACACACGATGCGATCGACTTGCCACGGATATTCAACCCAACCCTCCACCTGGAAACATCCAGCCAGCAACGCCAAGACATAGCCCTCTGGGCAGCGGTTTGGGGTCGTAAAGCCGAAGAGGAACCTAGGCCGAGGGGCACATGGCAATTTCTGACCTGATTGCACAAAAGAGCTATCTGGTAAGCAAGGTGCAAATCCCAGCAAGTTCTGCTGCTTCAAGCCGCTTCACCCTTCGGAAAGCGAAAGGTCTAGCCTTTCTCTACACGAATATGATAAATCCAATACACTGCCAATAAATCACAGGCACTCTGGCTGGGCGATGCAAATTGCCCCTGCCGTGGAGAGACCCAGCGCCACAAAGTGCAACCAGCTCACCTGAAGCAAACTGATCAAGAGGCGCGACCTCCACAAGACACGAGCTACGTTGCTCCACCCAAACCCCAAGCGCAAAATCGGAAGATGCGCGCCTTCTCGCCCAAGAAGACCAGGCCAAGAAGCGCAGCCGCAGTGATGTCAATGCTCGTCAGTGCAGCCACATCCCCGGGTGCAGCACCCAAAATCACGGCCAGGATGGCTAAGTACCAGTGCAAGTCCCCGAAAATTGAGCGAGACAGCACCCACTTCAGCTCAGAGCTGGAAGGAAGCCCGGTGCCCAAGAACCACAGCACAGCTCCAGTGGCAAGACTGGCTACCAAGCACGCACAGGCCAGCAGGTACCAATATGGCCAGCCCTTGTGATCAATAACCTTGCTTGTGACCATTTCGCAAGTCACAAACACGCCAGTGCAAATCATGAGCAATACCCCGCAAAGCTCCTTGCTCACAGGCATGTCGGCGGGCGACGTGTGTGGTTTTGAGCCCTTCAAACTTGGCGTCAGAAGACATGCTCATGGTTTATCGTGTGTTCATGACTTGACACACCTTAGCTTAATCACCAGGAACTTACCCCCCAATTTGAGAAAATCGGCCAATGGTTCCAACTTTCGTCGGAACGTCAACGCGGACCCCATCCCCGAATAGATCGCAACACGCGCCGCTGAGCAGCGTCCAATGTGCCCAGCTGGCTTTGCGTTATTGGAAATGTCGATTGACCATAGAGCACACTTGGAGTGACAGTAGCCTCAAAGTATCGAATGTGCTGCTTGTGGCTGTGGCCTCAGAATTTGGTGACGTTGGAACCTCCGCGAGGCAATCACCCTGCAAACCACCCACTTCCGAGAATCTTGTGCTAGTCAATGAAAGACACGCACGCATGCGCTACACCATGTTACACCCAAAATCCATGCCCGCAGGCAAGACCCACGGTGCCGCGCTGACACGAAAGCCGAGCCAAGAACAGCTCGAGACCTCGCGCAAACAAGCGTCGGCCAAAGGATCCTGGGTCTGCCAACTCTTTGCCTGCCACCCCTTCGGCAGGCCATGTTTTCCGAGTTCTGGTAGCAGCGCAAGGCAAGCAGCAAAATCCAAATATCGCGCACACGTATCAAAACGCAAAACTGCCTCAAGCAAGCAGCCGGCAAGATCACTGAATCAAAGTAGCAAAGGCGCAGAAAATCGCAGTTTATCGGTCCAGAAGGATCCATTTAAAGCAAGCCTTGCATCATCAACGACCAAACCTGTGTCTGTAGGCACGCGGCCTCTGCCCAACAGTGCAAATGCTGCGGGAGCGGTGCGTGGGGAACAAACCCGGGTTTGTCGCGAGGCTGGCACGCGGGTAGCCACGAACGGTTCCTTCGCGACCTCAACCTCGGCATGCCGTTGTCCGACGGAGGTCGTCGGGAACGGCGGTTTCGGCGGCGTGCAGGCAGCTGTCGACGCGACGCCTGTGAGCCCGGTGCGGGGCGATGGGATCGCCCACTGGGGCATCCCCAAGGAATGCTGTTGTTGCGGGGGCCAGCTCCCCTCGCGCAGGGCACTCAAGCGGGACACGTCTGGCGAGCTCTCGGCAAAGGCGGTGGAGGCAGCTTCCGAAAGCAAGCCCGACCATCGGTGCACATAGGCGCTGCGCAAAGCAGGCCGCAACATGGCAGGCGCCGCGCGTGCCTTGGCCTGGGCGAGCAGGCCAGCGCAGAAAATCCGCTGCCTTGGCCCCCAAAACTTAACATCGCCCTCTCGACCCTTTTTTGCGATCACCGAGCAGCCTGCGCTAGGTCTGGTGCTTTGCGGAGTCGTGGATGCTCGCTCGAGAGGGCCGCCGCTCGTGTTTGCAGAGAAGCTGGAGCCTGTGTCACGTGCAACACTCTTATGCGCGATCTGAATGTGGCGGTCGCTCGTTTCGATGACCGCCCCATCGAGGTCATTGCAAACGGCTTGGCCTTGTGGAATGGAGTGCAGCTTGCGGTCGACACTGTAGGGGGGAGCCCGCGTGCACATTGCAAAGGCTGGGCCCGGCCGTCTGGCGCAAGAGCGAGGAGGCAAAGGCCGTCATGGCTGAGTGCGCCAAGAGAGCGGGCCACTGGGCAACCAAGGAACGAGTCACACTGGCCCGGAGCCGCGCAGGCACTTCCCGTGCCTTGGCGCGGGCAAAGGCGCGCACAAAGGACGCCGCTTCCTCGCTCCAGCGCCCTCCAACCTCCACAGCGAGGACGACCAAGCGCCAGCGATCTGACCGCAAAAGCTCTGGGTACGCTCGTTCCTTGCGGCGGCGCGCCAAAGCCAGCGTTGCGCCTGCGTACCGCCCGCCGCGCCGGTTGGGCACTCCCTGGCCAGACAAGGGCGACACCAAGGTGGTGTCGGCAGCAAGCTGCTGGCCATTTGTTTTTCTGCCTCGCGCCTTTTTCTGCAGCGGCTCTGTCCATTTTTAGGGGGGGCCCTGGGCACAAGGGCTGCGCAGGCTGTTTTTTCGGAGGCCAGCTTCCTCACCTGCAAGCGCTGTTTTTATGGAGGCCAGCACCCTCACATGCAAGGCCCTACCGGGCAGGCAGGCGGGACACATCCGGGGCATCCCAGACGCCCGCCAACAAGTCACTGATGTCGGGGCCGGGCCCGTCAAGGTTGCTAAGGCCAGGCGACGGCAGGCAAGTCAAGCTCTCAGCAAAAGCTAGGGATGCGAGCAAGCCAGACCAGCGGTGCACGTACGCGCCGCGCAAAGCAGGCCGCAGCACGGCTGGGGCAGCACGAGCTTTGGCGTGGGCCAGCAAGCGCACAAACTCTGCGGCCTCAGCACTCCAGCGGCCCCCAACTTCAGCCCCGAGAACCACAAGGCGGCAACGGGCGTTGCCAACAAGCTCGGGGTAAGTGGCCTCTTTTCGGCGCCGTGCCTCCTGCAAAGCGATGGGGCGGGCAGGGTCTCGCAGGGAGCGAGCCACACCGTTGGCCGTGAGCGGCGACACAATGGTCGTGTCGACCGCAAGCTGCGCTCCATTCCACAAGGGCAAGCCGTTGGCAATGACTTCGATGCGGCGGTCGTCAAAACGAGCGACCGCCACATTCAGATCGCGCACAAGTGTGTTACAAGTGACACGGGCCCCCGCCTCCCTGCAAACACGAGCTGCCGCTCGCTCGAGCGGGCATCCCCGACTCCGCAAAGCACCAAACCTAGCGCAGGCTGCTCGATGGTCGCCAAGAGGGTCGAGAGGGCGACGGCACCGGCAGCTGCGCGCGGACAAGGGCAAGGGGAGGCGCAAACGCCGCAACAGAAGGGCACGCAAGTGGTCAGAAGGGAAGGTGAGCTCGGGGCAGGACGGCACACTGCAGAAAGGGCGGCTGCTGAAAGGCCCAGTCTGGGAAAACAAAAGCGCTTGCGACGCGGCGTCAAGCTGTGGCAGTAGGGCAGCTTGGAGTTGTTCAGCAATGGCAGTGGCAGCGGGCGCTTGCCAGCCCCGGCGCTGGGCTCCGGCAAATACCCGGACAAGTCCAAAGATGACGGCGGGGCTGGATCCTCCCAAGAAGGCGGGCGAAACCCTGCTGTGGTCAGCGCGTCCTGGGCCTGGAGAACGCCCGAGAGTGCAGGTCCAGCAGGCTCCCGGGCACGAAGCCTCGCTAGGATCTCCCCGGCCAAAGTTGGGAGCTGGCGATGCAGCACGGGCAGCGTGTCTGCCCACGACGCCCAATACGCAGCCGGGGCTAGCGCAACGCCAGACCGCAGGTTGAGGCCGCCTTGCTGGAAAGGAAGCTGGGCGATCTGGAGGGCAGAGTCTGGAAGGGGGCCAGGGACTTGGCAAAAGCCAGCGAGGCCACGGGCGGCAACGCACGCAGAACATGGGTGCACCGGGGAGAGGCGCAGAACAAAAGCAGCAACCAAGCGGACTGTAAGTCAGGGAGCGTGCGGATGCCTTGGAGGAGCTGATCTTGCTTCGCCCTCGTGAGCTGGAGCTGTGCCGCAACAAAGGCAGGATGGCCGCATGGGACGCCGAGAGCCACCAAGCCCTGCTGGTCCGAAGGGAAGCCCCGGTCTCCGACCCGTGACCGATCCTAGTTCTCGGATGCCAGGTGGCTCCAGTCCGGACGCGTTCCAATCTCGCGTCTTACCGCGGTGGAGCTGTATATGTGCGTGCCGGTGCAGGTGCAGAGACAGCAAGTCAAAAACAACCCGGGTACGTTCCGGCGACGTGATGACATAAATGTCATCGAGGTAGGCCAACAGACACTCGTCCGGACGCAGTTGGCGGCGCACCTCGGCGAGGGCCGCATGCTGACCCAAGGCGAACAAAGCAGGCATCAACGGGTCGCCCTGTTCGCCGCCTTCCGCCTGCGAAATCAGGTGGGCCTGGCCGTCAGCGTCATGCCACACAAACCGGGAGGGGTCAGAGTAGAACTGGCGCACGAAAGGCAAGCACACATTGGCGCCGGAAGTGCTGGACAAGGCCTGCAGCATGGCTTGTCGGCTGATGGTATCAAATGCGCCGACGCCATCGACGGACAGGATGGTTGCGTCAGGACGGGACTCAGTGGCAACAAGGAGGGCGTGGGCCACGGCCTCCGTGCCGGCACGAGTGGACAAGGCAAACTGAAAAGGCTGGCACGCGTCCAGGAACCGTGTTGCAAAGCTTTGAGCCAAGGAGCGAGCCACCAAACGCCGCAAGAAGTCACCAACCACGATCCCCCGGACGCGCCCATTGGGTTTCTGAAGGGCAACCATGCGCCCCAGGCCAAAGGCCGCCGCCTGAGCCAAGGCGGAGGCAGCACGAACAAACGAGGAACTAGTCGCCTCGTCATCCAACGCCAGACGGCAGAACTCCGCTGTGTAACCGGTGGGGCCGGCAGCAGCTCCTTTCCGAGCCCGCCGCAAATTGCCAAGCACTGTGGAAGCTGCGAGCACGACAGGGGACTCAGGTTGGAAAGCCAAAATTGCAGCATCGATGGAGTCGTACGGCTGGTCGGGCCTCCGGGCGGGGTCCTGTAACTCGGCCAGGGTGGCGGGTGTGAGCGGGGCCAAGGGTCCAGTCCAGAAACCAATGCAGAACTCACAGCTGAAAGCTCGCCCTGGCCGACTAATCGCGCAGCTCGCTCCGCACGACGTGCTGGATCAGCCGGGGCGGCGGGGGGCGGGGCACCGGTTGCAGCTGGAACGCACGCAGCGGCGGACTCAAGCAGTGCATCCCACCGGCCGGCTTGGAAATCCAAAAGCCGGGCACGCCACTAGGGCTTGGTAATCAAGCCGGGCAAGGGCTGCTCGCACGGGTGGGCTTTCAAGTTCATTCGAGGCAAAGACAAAGGAGCTGCCGAGTCTGCATCAGGCATGGGGTCTGCCGGGTCGCCTGCCAGGGGCGTCGCGGAAGGCGAAGAAGGCGGCCTGGGAAGTCCAGGCTCTCCGGCTGGGGGCGGCTGTGCCAGTGGGACGGGCGTTGGAGCTCCAACTGGCGCCGCTGGAAGTCCAGGGCGGGCTGATCTGCTGGGTGGCCTGGCAGGGGCGCCGCGGAAGGCAAAGAAGGCGGCCCGGGAAGTCCAACTGGCAAGCACTGTGATGAGGCGGGTACGGGAGCCACCGTCAACGCAGCGGGCCGCAGCGGGACCACCGGTGGCGTGGGCTGAGCGCCCGAACGCAAACGATCAGCCAACACAGACAAGTCAGAAGCAACACGCTCGTTCAGAAAAACTTGCAGCAACGTTTCCTGAGCGGAGGCAGGGACATAGCTGTGCGGTGTAAGGCATCGCTCCAACACCCACCGAAAATGCACAAGCGTGTGGGTCGGCAAGGCTGTGCCCGCCTCACGGAGCCGCAGGAACACGTCGACCATCCAAGGCAGCAACATCCTGCAGGGTCTCAAGGACAGACAGGAACCGAGACAGAGGCACCAGCGGAGAACGACGGAGTTGAGACACAGCCGCCTGCCAACCGACGGCGAGAACGGGATAAGCTGACCATTGGCGGTCTGCATTTTGGAGCAAAAGGCCTCCGCCGGCAAGAGGGAGCGGCACGAAAAACCAACTGTTGACCGGATAGGCTCAGGCCCAGCCCAACCAGCAACCCGCCTGCTGGCCAGGCCTGTCAGCCCAGCCCACCCAGCCTCAGGCCCAAGCTTGTCTGAAACAGGCCTAGCCCAACCAGCAACCCGCCCAACCACGGCCCCAAGTCATCCAGCAAGCCCAGCCCAGCCCAGGCTCACTGGGCCCCCAGCTCCCAGCCCACCAGCAGGCTCAGCCCAGCGTGCCAAGGTCGGTTTGTCTAACGTGTCTGAGACTGGCCTCAGGCCAACGACCAGTCTCACATGTCTGAGACTGGCCTCAAGCTACGCCAGCTACTAAGGCACTTGGCCCTCTGCAAGGGGGGGCCGGGCAGCTGTGGCTACGCCTCCCTTCCCGAGTGGGGAAGTCACCCCGGGCTTCGAGCCATGCCCGCCACAAAATGTAGCTGTTTGCCCTGCTTGCCTTGACCCGGTTCTGCCGGAGGGGGCCGGCCCGGCCACGGCGTGCCGCTGGCCTGTATGCGGGCATTCATACCATGCCTTGTGCCTTGCTCGTTCCCGTGCCCACGTGCAGCGCATGCAATGCGCCCTATGCAGGTAGGGTTGGCGACCGGCCTTTGACAGCGACCTTGAAGCCTTATGTGGCCAGCTTGGCATTGATTGGCACGCTCTGCAGCTGCATGACCCTGTGCCTGTCCAGCCCGCGCCCTCTGCCGGTGTTGCTTCTGATGACGCTGACGTTGCTATGGCCCCTGCGGCTCCCGAGCTTGATGCTTTTGTTAGCTCAGCTCCCGTTGCGCCTGCGACTCTTGTTGAGCCCGCGCCTCCGCCAGCGGTACGGTGACCGCCTCGTGCGTGCCAACGCGCGGGGTGTCAGAACGCAATTCCGGCGAGGAGGGCGCAAACTCGGGCCCTGATGCCGAAGGCGCGGACATGGCTCGGTTGACCGCCGGTTCACACTGGAACGGTCCTGCGGTTCACGTGGGTTCCCCCAGGCTGTTGACCGTTGATTACGGGGCCGGTCCCCCCAAGGCGGTTGACCGTTGATCACGGGGCCGGTCCCCCCAGGCAGTTGACCGATGGTCTCGGGGACGGTCCCCCCAGGCCTTCTTGTTTGTTCTTAGTTGTTTTTTCTCTTTTCCTTTTCCTCTCCTTGCTTCGACCCCCTCCTGGCCAGGGAGGAAGGCCGGGTGAGTTTGTTTATCCTGGGCTCACCGCCCCAGCAGCGGTTTGTTTATACTGGGCCCGCCACCCAGCTGTGCACGACGGCTTGTTTATCCTGGGACCGTCCCCCAGCAGTGCAATCCGTGGCGCCCGCCGCGCAGCCCAAAACAGAAACAACAACCAGGGGGGGGGGCAGCCCAAACACCCAAAAGGAACAACCAACAACGGAGACCCAAAAGGGAGGGGAAGGCAGCCAGCCAAGCTCGAGCCTTGGCAACCGACTTGAGCTAAAATGGGGACATTGTCCTTGAGCCAAAATGGCTACGGCCATTCCAAAGCGGCAGGCTGTTGGCAACGACTTCAAGCCGCCCGAGTCGGTCGACTTGCAAATTCATGTCTGCCAGACGGGTGTTGCAAGTGACACGGGCCCCCGCCTCGCGGCAAACCCGCGCGGGTCCAGAAGGCGACAACACCGGCAGAAGCGCTCGGAGAGGGGTAGCGGGAAAGGGCCTGACTGGGAGTGCAGCATGGCTTGCTCCAAGCAAGACTGCCTGGCAGTGGGCTAGCACGGCGTGCGCAGCTTCACACTGCCAGCCGCGCAAAGCACTGCTAGGGCCGTGCAAGGCCGGTGGCGTGGACTGCCGGCCCATCAGCAGCCGTGGCCAGTCGGGCGGGTTCCACCCCGCAGCTTGCAACTCCTCCGAGGCACGGCGCGCTGCGCGCAAGCACGGGGCCAATGGGGCCGGGGCCGACAACCGTGCCACAAGGCCTTGGGCAGCGTCAGGGCAACGCAAGTGCCAGACAGGCAAGGAGTCGGCCCACGAGGCCTAATAGGCTGAGGCTGCTGTGCGCTGGCAGCCCCAACCCACCCAAGGACAATGGCAACTGCGCGATGGCGCGGGCTGGGTTGGGAATGCCGTCACAGCCAAGCAAGGTTGCGAGGGCGGACACAATGGCTCTGTCATGCTAGCCTGCATAGGTGTCTGTTGCAGACGGGACATGCGAAGCAAGTACTGACAACATGGGGAACAACAGAAAAGCAACAACAGCCAAGAGGCTTGGAGGTCCTCGAGTTCCGGCAAGCGCCGCAAAAGCGCATCGTGGCTCGTCCAGGATTGCAGGAGCTGGGCTTGCACAAAAGCATCCGAACCCACAGGCACACCTAGCACAACCAGCGCCTGTGCCTCTAGGGGAAGGGAGCCTGCCCCCCAACCCAGCACGATTGGTCGGGAAAGCCGGGCTGGCCAAGGCGTGCCTTTCCTTGGTTGAGCTGGATGTGGCAGTGCTCTGCCAAGTGGCCAGCCAGCACCTGGAAGGCTGGCACGTACTCGGACGGCTCCGAGTATAACATGCGAACAAAAGGCAATATGCGGGATGCGCCTGGTGTTTCCAAGAAACCCCCCAACATGGACGGGCGGCTGATGGTGTCAAACGCACAAACAGGAAGGTGGCCTCAGGGTTTCGATTCGAGAGTCGCCGTCAACAGGTGCACCACACTTTGAAACACTGATGCATTCTGCTGTGCAAGGGTGCGGGCGACGAGGCGCCGCGTGAAATCGCCAACAACAATGCCCCGCACCCTGCCATTGAGGCTTGAGGGCGCGACCATGCGTCCCAAGCCAAACGTCCTGGCGGCTTCACGGGGGATCCGGGCAGTGGCGACAAGTTGCAACACTTACACAAACCGGTCTGACGCCTCCTCATCGTCCAGCAAAACACGGGCGTTAGGCCTGAAGGTCCTGGAGCTGCACCCTCTCTAGCACGCCCTAAGTTAGCAAGGGCAACTTCAGGCAGGAGATGGGCAGGCTCGTCCGGTTGGAACTCGAGGACGGCCGGGTCAAGTTCCTGGTACGGTTGTGTCGGGCGCCGGGCCGGATCCCGAAGCTCCGCCAAGGTCTCAGGCGTGCCTGGTGCAAGCGGGGTGGCAGTGAGCGCCTGCCGCGCAGCCGACAGCTCACCAAGGTGGACGAGGCGCCGTGCCCTTTGTGCTGAGCAGGCTGGCTGGCCTGCACCCGTTGGAGTTGCTTGGCGTAGCAGCGTTTCAAACCTGCCCGCGTGGAATGCAGCAAATCGCTCGTCCCAATCTCGCTTGGGCAATTTCCTCGTTCCAGGCTCCCTGTGCAACAACATCCTGGTGGCTGCGACCTCGCTGTCAGCAGCCTCAAGCACAGCAGACAGCACAGTGGTCAAGCACTGGCGGACCAAACGACGGGACGAACTGGAACGTACAGGCTTTGCGCTGCAGAGTGGTGGTCAAGTCGACAGACTCGCGTGCCTGCAAGGCAAGTTGGAACTGCCGACGGACTTGGCGGGGGGGCTGCTGCTGCTTGCTGGGTGGTCAGGTTGGTCAGGGGCAGCCGCATGTGCAGCTGGCGCGCTGGCATCATTCTCTGGTGGGTTGCCCTGACGGCTCCGGCTATGGCTGGCACGGGCGCTGTTGCCGGCGCGGCCGTGGTTGCTTCTGCTGCTGCAGCTGCCGCTGCTGCTGCTGCTGCTGCTGCGTCGGCCGGAGCGACTTCGGCGATGGCGGCTGGCTCCTCCGCCGCTGTGTGACTACTGCTGCGGGGGCCGCGCTGGTCCCTGCCTCATGCTGGACGGCCCCACTGCTAGGCTGATGTGGCTGCACTCGTGTTTGCGGCATCCCGAGGCGCTGGCAGTGGAGAAGCCGGATTTGGATGGCCAGGCGGGGGTGGGGGAGTGTGCGCACGCCCTCTGTGCACAGGCGTGCCCCTGCGCCGGGCGGCGCGTGGTGGGATCGTCGGCGCTGGTCTGCGCAGTGGCTGGGATGTAGCCATCGGCAAGCGCGCACCGCTCGACGTCCCAAGAGGGAGTGATGCGGAGGCTGCCTGGAGCACACTGGGCAGGGCCAGCGCAGCAGCGCTGAGCTGGCGTTCGGATGCGGCGACGGCTTGACCTGAACAGCGTGCAAAATGGCCTGGATTTGGACGCCGGCTGCGCATCGGAGGCTCAGTGCTTCGCGCCAAACCTGCCCAAAGTTTGCGTGCGCTCCCCCTGGTGCGACGCTCCCCTGCGCAAGCTACAAACAACCAGGGCCCGCGCGACGCACGGAGCGAGTGTCATAAGGGATGGCGGTTTCAGGCATGGGCATCGAGGCAACACAGCCTCGCGAACTGCTGTTGGGCCACATCCGACCACCCGGACCGACAAATGGGGCAAGAGACGCGTTGCTGGTTAGCTCGCATATGCGCGGGACATCCGATGCCGACGGCCCCCTGCGTGTCTGCAACCTCTGCCATGGGCGTGTCATCGCCAAGGGTCGGAGAGGACGACACGGAATGCACGGCTGGCAAGTGAGGCGCGGACATGGGATGAGCGCAGGCGTGCTGTGCTTACGGTCTTGGTCCCTGCGGCTGTTGACCGTTAATTACGGGGCCGGTCCCCTCAAGGCGGTTGACCGTTGATCACGGGGCCGCCGCCGCGCAGCCCAAAACAAAACAGAAACAACAACCAGGGAAAGGCAGCCCAAACACCCAAAAGGAAAAACAAACAACGGAGACCCCAAAGGGAGGGGCAGGCAGCCAGCCAACACAACACTTGAGCCAAAATGGCTTGAGCCAAAATGGCTGCGGGTGCTTCTTTTGAAGCGGGCAGGGAAACCGCTGCTTTCCGCGGCACACGCGGCAAGGCCATCTCAGCAGCTGCAAATTCACGCCCCTCTGCCACAGCCGCTCTAAAGCCATACGTGCAGCGCAAGGCCGCGAGAATGGGGATGGCCTCGACTGACACCTTTTTGCGCTGAGCGGATGCCAGGCCCGCGCGGCGGACGAGCACGCCACTATGGCATGCCCGAGGCCAACAGCAACGGCAGGCGCAGGCGACGGAGCAGGACGCATCGGATCACGTCGTCCTAAAACGTGAACTCGGCGCGAGTCGGCGGCGCGGTGGCGGCACGGAAAATGGAGCTGCTGCGCAGGCGTATGCGCGGCGGTGGACTGCCCTTTGCTGCAGTCGCCGCGCTGCGCAGCGCTGGCCGCCAGCCGGCTGCAGCCCCCGCTGTTTGGGGAGGGGCGTGTTGACGGCTCAAAGCCGGTGAGCAACTTGTTCGCTGAAGAACGCGGGCCGGGGCCGAGCCGTGAGCCTCGGCGCCTCTTCACGTTTTACCGTTTTACCCACTAATTCCTGCTGCTTTCCCGTTGGAAAGAGGAGTGGAGCAAAAACAAGAAGGCTGCCGCCGTGCCCTTCCTGGCCGTGCGCAGGGCGTCCGTTACAACGGCGGCATCAAGCCGGATAGCGACCGCCGGGAAGGCGTGGAGGCGGCATACGGTGCCTCATCGCCAGGGGCCAGCGCTGCTGAAGTGAGTGTCCGACGCGCGCGGCTAAGTCGTCCTGCCGGATTTGAGCAAAGGCCGGTTGTGCAGCTGCGCCGGCGTGGGCGGCTCCGAGGAGCGCGTGCCAGGCAGCTCCTCCCTAAGCGCATACATGTCATCAAGGCAGGCAGCTAGGCGCTCGCCTGCTGGCAGCTTGGCATTGGCTGCTCGCAACGCGGGATGCTGTCCCAGCGAATACAAAGCGAGCATCAGGAACGCAAGGTGCGCAACACCATTTGCGTCTCCGGACCAGCTTGCAGTCGGTGCTCATCGCGCGCGATGCCGCGATGTCCGCCTTCGCCGGTCGGGTCAAAGGAATTGCAATCTTGATGGGAGTGCGCCGTTTTTTTTCTCGAGCTGCTTGCAGACAGCGGTGCTGGGCCCCCCTCTGCCAAGCGGCATCTGGCAGATCGAAGCAGCTCAGGGCACGTCGGCTCCTTGCGGCGGCGAGCCCAAGGCAACGCGGCCACCCCTAGGGAAGGCTGACCCAGGCTAATCAACGCGACACAGGGGCGACGTCAACTGCCACAAAGGCAAGCCGTTCGCAACGACCTCCAACCGTCTGTCGTTAAGTCGGTCAACAGAAAAGCGGCGGCGGGCAAACACTGCTTTCATACGCTGAAGGCAAGTGGCCAAACACTTGCGCGATTCGTGACTTGGCGGAACAAGAAACACCGGACATTTGCGTCTTTCCGAAAGTATGTAAAAAGCCTGCAGTGCCACCCCTCTTGCGTGGCCACTCTTCACAAGCCAGGGCACCAGAGCGCATGTTAAGTGCTTCGTACATCTGCCTCCCTCTTGCCTTAGGCGAGGAGCTGGCATGTCAAGCGCCTATGTGATGCCAACAGAACCCTGTTGCCATTCTACCGCGCTAGCCTGGAAAAGCTATCTTGAGATGTGTCAAAAGTGGTTTAGTTTTCCGGTGTTGTTTTGTTCCTGAGCGATGCCATTGCTTCCTGCAATTTAGCTGCCGAGCCGCTTAGGTAGTTCGCCTGCGAGCAGATTCGCACCATTTCTGCAAACTAACAGTAAACCAGACTTTGAGGAGGTCTTAGACCTTCAACTGCGTTTTTGACACGGACCTCTTTGCAAGAACACGGCTGATGTGTGTCCGCTCGGCCGTGCCAGGGTGAATTGGGTGTTGACAACATGGCGTGCAAGAATAGGTGGAATCCTGGGAAGGCGTGGGCAATTCGGTGCAAAAAGATGGAGAGAGCTGCATACATTGGCACAACATGGAACAAGGCATGGCTCAGCTGCATCAACGCAAATAGCAACGGACATCAAACAGAGCCTAGACTTCATGGAACAAGCTTAGGCCCAACGCGTTGAACAAGCGGCGACACACAACAGCCAAATTGTATACGCAACAGCAAGGCATGCTGCAAAACAGGGGTCTCTGCGTCACAACCGCAACGCAACGGTAGGGAAGCAAACGACACAAACAAACGTACTCGAAATCCGAGCGGAAAGAGTTGGACGCCGCACGCATGCGCTTGAAACACTTGGCAAGAGGCCAGCCCCGAGAACACAAGAAACACAGCGAGAGACACCTTGCATCCACAGGAAGCCTTCAACGCTTCCTCCCGAGCACGTTCCCTTGTCTGCGCCCACGCAGTTCAGTTTCAATTTTCTGCGACGTGACCTTCAGCCGGCCAGGCAGGCAGGAAAGCATGGATTGCAACGCTGCGGCAGTTCGTACCCCCCAGCAGACACTGGCTGACCTGGCTAAGGCAACGAAAGGTTGGAAGAGCCAATGGGGGCCGTGTCGGTGAGGTAAGAGGGTGAGTCTGTTTCCAGCTCGCGCTGGTTAGGCGTCACCAAGCACGAGGGTTTTTGATGCGACTAGCACTTTCATCACACTGAAACGCCCGGCAACTGGACTCCGCCGCATCAGTCGTCAGCGGCTTCATTTGTTCGAAATGTTCACCAGGCCGATTTGTCCGTCGGTGAAGGAACAATGCAAGCGACTTTGACAAACATGACAGAATCGTGGAAGTGTGGGGGCTGCCAACGCAGACGCCACCAGATGCAACAAACAAGCATACGGCGCTGCCAACAGCAGATCAATAGTGCACGCGCCTCACACTTTTTGATGGGACACTGGTCCGGGCTTGGGTGAAACTGAAAAAACGGTCCCAGAGAGCGCTCAGCAAAGCTGGAGCAGCACCCTTCAATCGAACGAATTGGACACCTACGGTGTCGCTTCTGGTGCATCGAATTGGTCCTGAATTATGCCTCTCAAGAGGCCCAATGTCTGACATGGTCTAATCGACCTCCTACGAGTCTTAGCCTGCCTGCAGCAGAAATCTCTGCCAGTGTCCGAGCACACCGCCAGTGTTTGGCGAGCGCAATTCCCGGGTAAGGTGCCTTCCAGCGACCTGCGAGAAACATCCCATGGCCTCAGATCAACTCGCCACACCTGACAGGCAAGACGAGGCCGGCCGTAGCAAGCGGCACTCCGCATGTCACACGACCCCCGCCCTGTCGCTCTTTCTTGCAAAGCGCACTACTCCATGCTGAAAGCAGATGAAGCTAGTGGCCACCTCTGGCCCTGCAAGGTGGCAAATGCGGTGCAAGCCACCGGCTGGAGAAGAGCAACAGACGAAGCAGCGTCCTGTGTGTGCGGGAAGCAGCTGCCGGTCTTGTTACCAATGCAAGGCTACATGTGAGCCATGGGTGCAGAGGGCGAATCCCTGCCAAAACTATGCAGATCATGCAGAGAGCGTAGCCACGGGCAGAGCAGCGCCGATCCTTTGCACCAGGTCGTGCGTCTTGGTGGTAAAGCGCTTGAGACGAAGCCGGACTCGGCTGGAGGAAGAGCAGAAGGACACCTCGGAAGCCACGAAGGAGCCCAAGCTCAGCGTGTCATCCATTGCATCCGTCGCCGCCGTCTCCGTCTCGGAAACCTTTGGCTCCTCACAAGGCTCGGCGCTGTTGCAGGGCACTGCCATCAGCACCACGCTCAGAAGCATGGCCCCAGCGCCCAGGACGGTGAGCAGCTGCGGCAGCTCCTGCAAGGGCTAAGCCGCTAAGCCTATTTGTCTCTCAATGCTTGATGGAATTCGGAATGCTTCCTCTTTGCCCTTCGGAATGCCTGAAACAACAGGATTTGCGCCAGGTAGCCAGACACCATGCAGGAAGACGTGAAAACTGTAGCACTCACAGCTGCTGGGCATCGCGTTGCACCTGGTCCAATCGGTCCAATGTTTGGGAATCTGTCAAAGAGTCGAAAACATGTCGTCGAGCATTGCAGTAGGATTGATTCATGCCGTTTTGCTCCACTGCCAACTTGGCATGTTTCAAAGAGGTCCTTCCAAAATGCGCAACTACATGCCTGGAGGGCTGTTTCGAGCATGTGACAGGCCTATGACACATCCTGGCAGTTTCTCCCTGCCTGCCGCGGGCAGCATGATGGAAAACATGGTCCAGAAGGTGAGCAGAAGCAGCAGCCCCAACGCCTGCCAGGGATGATCCGCCACCAGCTGCCACGAGGCCTGGTGCTTCATCGGCAGCAGCGTGGGCACAAGGCCCATAGGCACCTGGGACATGACTGTCCCGGAAGAACGAAGAGAACACCGAGTATAAACTGGTATGGGTATGGGTCAAAAACCAATGGTATCCCATTTTGGGGTAGGTGCACCACCCATTTTGGTATATTATATTTTGGTGCAAATTGGGATGTTCACTGGGGGTACGAGATTTTGACCCATGGCCGTGTAAACATGCACAAGCAAAAGAAACGAGAAGATATGGGTGCCTCTCTTTTTTGCAGAGGCACCGAGAGCAACAGGCTGCAGAAGGTGAGCACGCCAATGGAGATGTGCGCGGATTTCCGGGCGCACACAAAGGAGCAGGCCTGGGGCGTGCAGTTCAGTTCTGCCAGGAACCATTGGGAGCCCATGCATTCTGAGGCTTGACATGTGCCTCCCGACTCCCGCCCCTCTCCTGGAAGCAACCAGATAAGAGCGCCAGCACGTAGCCCACAGGAGAGCGGTTCGGGCTTGTAAAGCCGAAGATGAACCTGGGCAATCCGACGAGTCTACATGTGGGTGTGGGTCAAAATTAAGCCACCAGGGGACCGCGGGTTCTAGTCTTTGGTTCCATTTACCAGGGTTTTTGACCCACAGCCATGTCAGCCCATGTCAACCCCCCCCCATCTCTCCCCCCCCCCCGCAATCGCATTCGCCGAAGTGCTCGGGCTGCGAGATGAGGATGGCCCCTGCCGCGGAAAGGCCCAGCGCCAGGAAGTGCACGAAGCTCACCTGAAGGTGTGGGGAGGCTTCACAAGATCCCCCGATTCTAAGGGTTTTGGTATTAGACCACTGGGTATTGACCCCATTTAGGCACATTTCTAGTCAAAACCGTGTTATTTTGGGTCATTTCCCAAGAATGTAATGTCAGGGTGTAATACAAAAACCCTCAGACCGATCAAACTCCCCACCCGAAGCCAAAAGCTAGACATGGCTAGGTCCAAAAGAGAGAAGGACCCGGTTTTTGACAGGTCCCCAATTGGCGATCTGTTGGTTTCCTGAACTGCGACCATGAAACACGCAAACAAGAACCTGACGGCCTGTCCACCCATTCGGGCTGCAAAAAATATGAGTCCTAACCGAACCCAGGCATCAAAATGCCATCCAAGAAACGGTAAGCAATCAAATCGGCTTGGATCATGTCAGCCCGCCTGCTCCCCGAGAAAAACGAGACCCAGCAATGCTGCGGCAATGATGTCGATGCTGGTCAGAGCTGCCACGTCCCCTGGAGCTGCGCCCAGGATCACGGCCAGGATGGCCCCGTACCTAACTGTCCGCGTGGAAACCAAAAATCAACCAGTTGAAACACACTGCCAGGAGGGTTTGATTTATGTCAGCATGAAAACCACGCTGTCGGCGATGAAGTTGAAGCATAGTCAGAAATTGAGGTCGGAGGCTGCTTCAACTTAAAGGGTTTCTGGATTGAGAGCGGGTAGGCTGGGCGCCGGTTTAGCTTTCAACCAAATTGTGGTGCTGGGAGAAGATGTGTTGCACCCAAGCAAAACTAGCTTGAGAGACAGGTCCGTACCACAAAATACAGCACAGCACAAGTACTATGTTCTGTGGCGAGGTGGCACGATTGAGGGTAAGTTCTCTTACAGTAAGCGAAGAGTTTGCATGAAGAATTCGCTGAGTGTACAGAAATCTCGTGCATTCTTTCAGAATCGAGGCTGGGCCATGCTCCAGGAAGTGGCTGAGGGGAGACTTGATCTTCTGTGGGACTTCACTGGAACGAAACGACTGCGATGGGGCTGTGGAACCCACACTCAACGCAAGGCAAAGGAGAGGAAGTTTCAAGCAAGTTGACGGCTGAAGGAGAAGTATGCCTATCATATAACTACCTGTCAACTAGAAAATTGGAGTGGGTGTGCTACTAAGATGGGTCCATAAAAAAAGTCTTCTTAATCCCCGTTTAGAGATTGTCGTTGCTGTTCCCAGCTCTGGAGCAGCCCAATACCCAAAATCCACCCAGGCCAGCCCCAAGCAACAGCAGCGCCAACTGTCACATGCGTGTCGCGTGCGTGTGTCGCGTGCGTGTCGAGTGCGTGCGTGTGTCGAGTGCGAGTGCGCGGGTGCGTGCGTGTGTCGCTTGCGTGTGTCCGTGAACTGTGCGTCCCCCCCCAGGCGCCCAGGCACCAATGCAGGTCTTCGAAGACTGAGCGAGCCAGCACCCACTTCAGGTCTGACCGGGCTGGGACCTCCGTCCGCCGCCACCAGAGCGCCAGACCGTTGAAGATCGTAGCCAAGAGGCTGGAGCCCGCCAGGAGATACCAGTATGGCCAGCCGCTGGCTTCGATGAGTTTGCTGGTGACCATCTCGCTGGTCACACAGATGCCAGTGCTGATCATCAGCAGAATCCCGCAAAGCTCGGTCGAAATCATGGCGCCCACAGATTCTGCGCTATCAATCTGCGCTTGAGCTTCGGCGGCTGGCACACTCCATCCTACCAGCTAGGTCAATTGCATCTGCTTCCCAGTTGGTGATAGGAAACATGTCCCATTGGAAGTCACGCGAGACACATGTCCCAAAAAGCCAACAACCGAGCAAGCAGAGTTGCTTCGAAGCCTCAGATCTGCCGGTGATCTTAGGAACCCCAACTCTGTTGACACTTGGACAAAGGCAGCCCCGGCCATCCCGGCACGCCTCGCGACAAGTGTCCCAAGAAGCCGCCGCCAGAGAGGAGCCTCGCAGGAAAAAGCAAGGCGTAAGAAGCTCTCCCTCCAGTCGCAAATTGTTCAGGGGTCGATTGCTGAAGTGTCCGTAGACAATGTATGAGCAACTGGGCTCACGGCAAAATACGTTCATTTGACACATGCTGGCGCAGTCTGTGCCATGTAAATCTTACCCAGAAAAAAGCTGCAGCAGCATTCGAGTGCCACAAGTTGACTCGCCGCGAACCATCCGCTGCGGCACAATCTGGAAAGACGCCCATTGCTCGCACCATGTGCCTTTTGTGCTTGCCAACACTAGAGACTTGGTGAAGTACGAAGCAAAACTGAGTTCCCACGTTGTCTCACTGCACCAAACAGCTGCCTGCCGAGGGAGGCCATGTCGCCCGGCATGGCACTCCTGGCTCGAACAAAAGCTGACCTGGGAGCCGCACCATCTTGGATTCTACGGAATCATGATTCACAAGGAGGCGTTAACGGGTAAGAGCGGAAAGAAACAAAGCCTCAAGCATGCGCTGACAAGTTGAAATCTACACACGTCAGCCCTTGATGAATCCTCTGCACGATGCCCAGCAAACCATCGCTCCAAGCTTTCCAAGCCTTCCAAGCAGTGGAACCCCCACCCGCCTGGCACAGGAGCTCGATCCTGGAACGCGCCAGGGTTGGTGCACAGAGATCCGAACAAAACAGTCCCCTTGATGTTGCCCTCATATCTGGAAACCCGCGCATTTGAACAATCCTAATCCCAGAAAGCGTTTAGAAACCCCTCGTACGTGCACAATCCGAGCGCTGACCAACAGCCATGTGAGGAATCTCTTGTGACTCACCGCTGGAATTGTGCCGGGGGAGGGTTCTACATATGAGATAGACACCGGTGAGAAGCATTTGACACGGAGCCACCAACCAAAAGCACTGCCTTGGCTCCCGGAGGACGGGCTGCCCGCAGGCCTGCGAAACTGGCGACGTGGGAACCTCCCTGACAGTTGACTCAAGCGCGTGGACAAGAATCCAAGGTGACACCCAAGGTCGAAGCCACCCATACCTACCTTCAGTGGTATTCAAAAGAGACATGAATGGAAATGCTCTGAGCAGCTGCCCAAGACACACAAGTTGGCCATTCAGACAAGAAGAAGCACTGACCTCGCCGCTAGTTCTCCAAGGAGGAGTGCAACCAGCTTGAGGAATAAAGACGAAGTCTGGGGAGTGGGAAGTCAAAGGGAATTTGCTCACTAAGCTTCTTAACAGTCCGTCCTTCTGAAGCAACTGTAGCAAGATGCTTCTAAGCTTTAGTTCCATATGAATCTGCCCCAAGTGGGTGATGTCACCGTTCCATGTGGTGTATCACAATCCGGCTCCATGCCTCGGCTCCGCATGCCTCTCCGTCTTGCCTGGTCACTCAACCCCTCGAACTCGGGAACTAAGCAACACATCGAAGAACTGGAGGTTTGCCCTTGGGAGGATCGGCCCTTGCCATCTGCCTCGCCTTTGGGACCTCGGCCTCAAATTTCGAGACATGGCTCAACTGCGCCTGGGCTGCGGCTCAACTGCGCCTGGAGCCGTGCCTTCCTGAGCGATGCAACCATATCTGGAACTCATGCCATGGCTCCCACCGAGTTTCTCCGTATTGTCCCAGAGACACCCAGTTTCCGTCATTTCGGGAGGTGCATCAACTTGTGGGCGTGATTCAGCGCTCAGCCTCGATCAACACTCAGCACGATGTCCTGCTTGGCATGAATGGTTCGGATATGTGATATGTGTGGTCAGTCGTGGTCAAACGCAACACGAATGCCACGGAAACAAACGCGAAACACACGCCGTTTCCCCATTCAAACATGCCGCGGTCGATCACAATATATTAAGTTACACCAAAAAAACGTGGGAAGCACCGCGGTGTAAACTTCGTAAAGGAGTCCCTCCCAATGTTCCTCCAATTTGATCACAGACTAGTCGATCTGTTCACCAAGCCCACGTTTTGGCGGGGGGAGGCTTGAGGAGAAACCGAACCGCCGCGCGCCGCGCGCCGCGCGGCTCGGAAGTCTCAGCCACTCAGCGCCCGGCCGGTCAACCATCTTGGGCTGCGCACTGGGCACCTGACAAACTTCACTTAGAGTCTCAAACAAGGGGAATCCCCCAAAAAAAGCTTGGGGAATGAGGGAATGACCCCTTTTTCAGGCATCCCTGGTGGTTTCCTTTAAGGGGACCCCTGATTCATTCCCACATTCCCGACTGAGCACCAGCAAGGAAAGGTGACCAAAGATTGAAAGGTGAACAGGCTGCTTTGTTTTCGGTTTCAAATCCCCAAAGAGGTCACCAAAGATGGCAAGGAAACAAACGGGTGGTTTTGTTTTCCCTTGCAATCTGAAACCAACCATCAAGAGGGGTACCCTCCAAACAGAGCCCAAGCAGAATCAGCCAAACTGGCTACAGGTTGACGGGATACGAGGCAACCAATCAAAGTCAGCAGCCCGGGCTTTCAGCAAGCATCAAAGGTAGAGGTCTGACGATGTGCTTTGCCAAAGTTCATTGGCCATCGTTGAAGAGCATTCAACACCGCTAAAATGAGACGGCTGTCTGGCACGAGCCCTATTCTCACCTCTACACGGCGCCATGTCCACGTCACACATGTCGAATGGCTACTGCCAAGTCGCGCATTCTGGAGGATTGTTGAAATGTTGGCCAACTTGGTTGTTCCCGCAAGCACCGACTGGCACGGACTGGCCTCATGCACCCTGCACAAAGCTCCGCATTCTGTTTATGTTGCAATACATCAGGCTCACCGCATTCGCCACAGCGTGGAAGCATGAGTACCACCGCCAGCAACTTTTGAGAACACAAGTCAAGTCTTGTTTTTCTTCTTCCAGCCATAGAAAGCTGGACCCATAGTTCTGTATTGCTAAATCAGAGAGAGGGCGGGTGCTGGTGATCAAAAAAGTGCTGATTCGGACCACTCCAGACCAGGTTCCGAAGGAAAAGTTCGCACATAGGCGCGGCACAGTCGGAGTGCAACATGTATCCCCCTATGAAAACAGTGGACAGTCGGGTAGGTCTGCAACCACCACGTAGCATCTCCCGGCCTTTGGCCCGGCTGCGGCATCCCCGGAGGCCATGGCCTCCAACTCCTGGCCATGGCTTCCCAAAGGTACGATGCCCCGAGGCCACCATGCAACAAACGCTGCTTGACCAAGCGCGGCTTTACGTGGGGATGATCATTGGTTTATCGGTTTTCCCCCCCACCAACAAGTCAGATGGTGTCTCCCACGGCATGAGAAAAGTGCCCCACCAACAAGATGGTGTCTCCCACGAAATGAGAAAAATGTGACCCCCGACTTGCTCCTCGCTCAGCGCTGGAGCAGCCTGCCACGCGGCCTGCCTGCAGGAAACGCAGAGCGCAGAGCGGCAGAGAGGCGGCTTCGCAAGCCCACCTGGACTTGCTGGAGGACTGGCCTGGACGGGTCCGCCTGCTGGCTTCGAGCGCCTGGGCGCGGCTTCCGGCATGGCTGTTGCTTTATCACGGGCCCTGGAGCATGGGGGGGCGACTTTCGCATGGAACTCACAAGAGCAAAAAGGCAAATGAGGTCAAGCAACCACACAGCCATACACCAACTGGAATCTCCCACCAGACCCATAAATGGTCTGGTCCGTGCCTGCTGCTCCTTGCACTCAGCCAGCTCTCGACGGCATTGCTCCAACTCTGCCTCCACAGCACCGCACATTGAGGACCAACGCCTCCCTCAAGAGACTCACACTCAAAAACGACAAACCGTTAACCCCTCCTCCTTTCCCACCTCTATGCTTCCTAAGAGCAGCCGCCCTTTCTCTTGAAACCATTGCCCAGCATCGGCCTCCAACTGCACTGCATGTTTGCGGCTCCAGGCAGCTACCTCGCAAGCGGTTGGCTTCGGTCACTACCAAAACCGGAATTTGTTTTGGATCACAATCAAGCTTGTAGCCCTAACCTCTCCAGGAAAACCAACCGGACCTTTGTCCCCAACAAATCCCGCGGACACAAAACACATCCCCAACCGCATCCAAATCCAACCATTCCAGCAATTCCAACATATAAAAACAATTCCAACAATTCACAATCCAAAACCCCTGTGGTTTCAGTGGTTTCTTGGCTTCTTGGCTCCCTGCGTTTTGTCTGCGTTCCCTGCGTTCCCTGCGTTCGGCTCTCCTCTTGCCGACCCTCCGCCGAAGGCGGCGCCTCCTCGGAGGCCAGCAGCTCCTCCCGCAGCGCCGCCGCCTCCGCGCCCAGCTGCGCGGCGCGCAGCTCCGGCGCCTCGACGCCCCGAGGCCCCGTCGTCGGGGGCGCGAGGCGCGCGAGGCGCGCGCGGCGCGCGAGGCGCTCGGGGGCGAGTCGCGCTCTGCCGGTCAGGTCTGCGGCGGCGCCCTGGTTTCTCGATAGAAACCTGAAGGGGAAAAAGAAGAACACGGAAGGAACTAAAGACAGAACGGGTACTGCTCTGTCTTGGTACCTATGTCGTCTTGTTCTGTCTTGGTTGCTTCTATGTTCTGTCTTGAGGTTGCTTGATCTTCTGAAGAAAAAAGGAACACGCTCTTTTGCTTTTCGCCTTGTTTGAGCGGTTGTTTCCCAACGGGCCCAGGGTGCTGCACAGGTCCCGCGCCACGAAGGAGGGGGCAAGAAGCAGGAAAAAAAAAAGGAAAAGGCCTCTTTGAGGGAACTAGTCTCTGTGCTACTGTCCACCTTGCATCAATCTGGGCATGGAGCTGCTCATGTTCGGCGCCGGCCAATCACCTGCAAGCCTTGCTTTCATGCCATGCGCTAGAGACCATGGCACATCAAAGACCAGCCCCAAAGCAGAATCGTGACTCGTCTGCGCTCCCCCACCGGGCTCGCCCGAGGCGTGGCGCTGCGTGTCTGCTGCTGCTCCTGAAACTCGAAGTCTGGAGGCGTTGGATCACCGAAGCGCGTCCAACGAAAAGCAAAGAGTGGTAGGTGGCCTTTTGGAAAAATAGATGGCCCTGGTAAGTGGAACAAAACCCATCCAAACCAGTGCCATCTGTTCTTAACCAGGCTCACCTAAAAAGGAGACCTAGGCAAAGAGTGCGAAGCCTCGACTTGAGTCATCCCACTCCCCTCCTCCACCTCCATGCGCCGCCGGAGCCTCTCCTGGCAGGCCACGGATTCGTGGCTTGCAAAGAACGATCCCCGTGCTTTGATGCCACAGGTGGGCAACAACATGGGTGTGGGTTAGGTACCCAAAATGGAATCCGGGCAAATGGAAACAAAGACTAAAACCTGCGGTTTTCTGGTGGTTTAACCTTGACCCACACCCACATCATGGGCAACCCTCTTAAAGAGGAAAAGATCTGCACTCGGCTGCAGGGTGTGGACCAGCAGCAAGAAGGCTCAATGCAGTCACGCTCGCAGCTTTTGCTTTTTGGCCCGAGGGGACTGCTGTGAAATCGTTCACACAAAGGTCTCGCTGCCCCACCTCGCAGAGTTCCCCAAGCATCTCGAGTCGACAGTCAAGTTCCAAGTGGAATGTTTTAGGGTCGGGGTGAGACCTCGCGAGTCAGCAGTCGCCAGGAGGGATGCCAAAGGCTCGCCAAGCGCGCTTCGCACGTTCATGCCATGCTGATCAGCCTGGCAGGATCCACTCAGCTTCTCCAAGTGGCGTGATATGACAGATTCGAAATTGCATTCCACGAGGCATTCCTCAAAGTCCCTCCCACTTGTTGTTGGGGATGAACGAAGCAAAGACAGATCAGCCTTTTGGGTCTGCCACGACAATCATTTTTAGGAATACAGAAACACAAGCCACACACCTTAAATGGAGGAGCGGAAGTCCACGTCGCTCTGCGGCACGGGGAAGAAGCTCTGCGGAGTTCCGTCCCCTCGGTCAGATTTCGGTTGCAAAGCCCGATCTCAGCCAAACCCAACGAGCCCAGGCGCCCGTTTGGCTCGTCGGGACCTGCGGCAGCTCCTGTGGAGCCTCCGCCTCTGGAGGCGTCGCCTGCGGGAAGCTTGGACAAAACCCTGCAAACCGGACACGTCTGGCAAAACATAAGGCCCGCATGGCACATGGTGCCTGGATCTCAGACTGGAAATCTGCGCCACTGGTCGGTGCGGGAAAGAAGCTCTGAGGGTTGCCTGCCAGCACAGCAAGCACAAACACGAAGCCAACTCACACGCCCACGCCGGCCGTGCCTCCAGCGCCCATGCTGCGCATGCTAGGAGCGCTCCGACCGCTGCGAGCACTGGCGCTGCGGGCGGTCAGCGGGCCCTCCTCCGGCGCGCCGTAGCTGTGGGCTTCGGAGGGCGCAAGCCTCAGCGAAGCAACACATGGCCAGGGGGTATCGCAAGCATCAAAGCCGACCAGGAACTCGAGCTGCACACGGAACATTCATGTTCCGCATGGTCCGCATGATCCGCATGGCATGGTGCGCATGATCATGGCTGGCAAGCCCTCAAGATGTTACAGCCCGCCCTTAATGTTCAATCCTTGTTGCGCAAGCGAGCGGCGATGCAAAGGGGTTGTTGCCAGATGTCATCACAGGCACCTTGGCATGGAGACATGGAGACAAATACTCCAGTCATCCAGAGCAGAACTTCCAAGCGCATATCCCAAGACCTTCAAGGAAGTGGCACGGTTCTCACCCAAACATGCCCGCCAGTGCAGAAGCGCAATGCAGCCCAGGAAGTTCAGACGCTGGCAAAGGCCGTCTCCACGGAGTCAGCAGGGATAGGGTCGAGATTTAACTCAGGTTCTGTCTTCGTTTTCTGGATCGTTTGTTTTCACTCCCACTGCGCAAGTGCTATATTGTACAGCATATCCGAACAAAATGCGCTCGTTTTGCATCAGCACTGTCAGAATCCCCGGCCATCGTTTTAACATCTCCGGCGTCGTTTTCAACGGCCTCAGCATCGTGGGTTCGATGCTGGTGCAGCGGTAGTTTAGGCTGGGCGTTGGGTCCAAGCGTGGTTTAGGGTGGGCGTTGCATTCTTTGGGATTCGTTCAAGGATGGGTTTCGGGGTGCATTAGGGTTGGGTTGGGATTTGGTTTTGCGATGTGGAACGCCGAAGACAGAAAAAAGCCACCGACGGTGTTGCTGGTGCTGGGGATGTGGAAAGCGAAAGCCACAAAAGCCGCCAAAAACCCACCAAAAGTCGCAACTAACACACCAATGCAAAAACATCACAGTTCCTGATTACTGATGATGATGATGATGCTGCTGCTGCTGATGATGATGATGATGATGATGATTGACAATGATAATACACCTGAAAAAGTGGCCCTCCGTGATAAAGTGCCCAACCACATTTGGCATCCCGACATGGTGTCCTGTCCCCAGTTGTGGCCTGTTGCCTGAGGCTCATGTCTCTCTCCACCGCGGCGCTGGCGCCGGCTGGGCCGGCGGAGGCGCCAGGCCCGCCATGAACTGCATCTTGCTGGCGTAGGCAGTGAGCGCCCTGGCCGGATTCAAACGTCAGCGCGAGTCACCGGCTGAATTCTCGCTGGTCAAAGCAAGAATGTCGGAATGCACCGTGGAAAGAGCGGAGCTGACCGAGGAAAAAGATCCAATGACATGTCCAAGCCACACAGAGTTGTAAGGGATTTCTGAGATCTCCTCGGCAGCTGACCACACCACGTAGACCTGGCGATTTGGAACAAATACCCTGAACTTCGGTAAAAATCACCTCATGCTATCATGACAAAATGCCGCCAGGCCGGCCAAGTAGGCATGCAACAGGCCAGCCACCATTGTCCACATGAAGACAAACGTCTCCTGCGCAATGGACAGCAAACACACATCCACAAACACAGCCAGGACATAAGACTTCTAAACAGCCCCTCTCAGCCTTCATCTCTGTTTGTCTTCGCTCGCTTTGGTTTTCTCCTCCACCCACCTCCCCCTAAACCCCTAAACCCCCCAACCCCCCAACCGCCGAATCCCAGTCCGTGAAGCCGCAGACAAAGGCGGGGCCCAGGCGCTGGAGCTCGTCCTCCACGGCGCTCTCGCAGACCTGGCGCTCTCGGGAACCAAAGCGCGCCGCCCATCGGAAGTTGGCAGTTGGGACGGCCACGAGGAAACCCCCAACAGGGCGACAAAAGCCATGGGAGACCACTCAACGGATCTGGGGAGCGTGCTCCATGGGAAGTTGGGATGAGCCATAAGAACAACCCAACAGGGCTTAAAGAACAGGGCTTAAAGCCATGGGTGGCGCTCTCACAAGTCACTAGCCTTGAGCATTCCAGGCGCCGCGAAGTGAGACATCCAGCGCCCTAGCACGCCTTCCCGGAGGTCAGCAGCCAGGCGGGCACTGCCATGACGATGAAGAAGCTGAAGGTCAGATACCAAAAGAAGGTCCTACCGGAAAAAACGCGGCCCCCCCCCCCCCCAACGTCCTCTGAATAAAAAACCGCCCCCAAGGTCCTCTCAAAAATCAGGAATCGCCTCACCCCAGTGAGTCAGAACCCAAAGTCTTGAGTCTTAACCAGACTGGACAAGGTCATTGAATCAAAATGGCAATCCATCTTTTTTGCATCCAACACATGTGGTCCGTTGCATAGGTTAAGTTGTAGCCCCAAGTTCAACTTTCAGAGGCAAAAGGCTTCTGCCTCAGCATGTGATCGATGTGGTAGAGCACCCCAACTCCGGCAGAAATTGTGACCGGGATTCCCACCTCAGGTCTCACCACGTGCACCACTAAGTGCTTCAACTGCAGAGCCTCTGCCGACATGAATAAGGAAGGAAGCATTGATTCCGTCATTGGTTGCCTGCGGCGTCATTTTGGAGGTGGCAACTCCCCGTCGCGTTCTGCAAATCCAACCGCTGCACTGGCGCCAAGGTGATTCGTGCGGCGAAAAAATCGCAACTCCCCACCCCTGCGGTACTAAGCCTTCGCAGCCTTCGCAATTGCTGCCACGACGCAAGGCACCAGGAGGCACAGGCCACTTGGATTTGTGGCGACACCTGGTACCAAGCGGCTGTGGTGGTCAAAACCCACACAAAACCCCTCCTGGTAAACATTTCAAAAAAGGTGATACATGGGTGCTCATCCGCCCCAAAATGGAGAAATGGGTTGTGACCCATGGCCAAGTAGCTGCAATCAGTTTACTTCGAGCTGGAGACCCCAAGTCAGGCGGGAACCGCCGCTCGCCTTGACGCTCATCAGCTTCAAAGGCTCAGCGGAGGAGCACAAAGAAATGACAGCGATCCTCGGATTTAAGTTCTGTGCCATGGGGGCAATCTAGTGCTTTGCAGAGATTTCTCGCCAGCCAACAGCTGTGCCAAGCATCTGTGCCAGCAGCGTAAGGAAGCAAGTGGCCTGCCAGGACCATGGGTGGTTTATTTCTGCAACCAAGAACAACTCCACAAAGGGCTGAAGATCAAAACGGCACTCGCTGACAAAAACGAGCAAAGTGAACAAATGAATGAGTTTGCCCGGCATTGGCCACTCGTGCCTCCACGCCCATGGTCAGGGTGAAGCACCCGAAGCAACTGTGCCTTCAGCTCCAAAAAGGCAATGAGCACTCAGTATCCGTGCGTGTCTGTCGTTCCAAAAAATGAATCAAGGTCATTGCACTCAAGGCTGCAAGCACAAATTGAAGAGAAGCTGCGCTGGTCGAACCTGTCCAGGCAAGTAGGTACAAGCAAGTCTCCAAGTCGCGCGTCTGCAGCCTGGGCAAAGCCTATGACCTTCTTCCCTTGCCTTCCACATCTCGGCTGCGTTGACAACCTGCGCCACAAGCAAGATTACATCATGCTGTCCAGTCAATTCTGATCTCTTGACACAAAGCCTCGATCGATGCGCTCGAGGTTGCTGCGGGGAGGGCGGAGGACCCCCTTGAGCCCAAGTCCAGCCCCAAGGCCGGCTACGGAGCGGAGCGGCTGATGGAAAATGCCGTTTTCAAGGCAACCTCTTCACCACAAAGCAGCAAAGTCGCAACTTCACCTCACCCAGCCTCCTCCCCTGAAGGAGCAGGGGGGCCATCCCACCCAAATCACCCAAATCTGAGATCCCCAAGCCAAACCCCCCGAACTCCCGCTCTGCCTCGGCCTGGCGCGCCATCCGCCGCGCGTCCTGCAGCTCCGCCTCCAGCAGGTCCCAGCGGCTCCGCGCCTTGTCAAAACCACCCGCGCCGCGCTTTGCGCCGTTCGACCGAACCCTCGCGACTCGCTCCCCAGCCTCCTCCAGCTCCTGGTCCTTGCACTTCAACGCCTCCCGGCCTGCAGTACCCAGGCCCCAGCCCGACTAGTTGATGGGCGGCCTGTGGGCGCCCGTCCTCGAGGGCACCCAAGAGGTATTGACGCGCAAATCACAGTTTGATATTGTGTTTGACAAGGCCTTCTCCACGCGCACGCGCTGATATTCTGAATGAAGCTGCTCCCATTGGCACAAAAAGTGTGGCAAAAGAAGACCACGTCTTGAAGCGACCTGCCTGACTATCAGCAGAGAAAGACGCCATCGGAGCACAAACGTTCTCTCGGACATCACCGAAACCCAACAACAAGGCAATAACCAAACAACAAAAACGCGCTTAGAACTCCCAACAAGCTACCAAAAAGGTTAACAAAACGAAAGAACCAAAAACGAGTTACCATCTCCAAACTCGCATCCGACCCTTCCCGGCCTTGGACGAGGCGCCGCTCCGCGGCCTCCAGCTTCTCTGCCGAGGCTGCCTCCGCCGCCTCTCGCAGAGCTGGGGGTTGACGCAGCGGGTGCGCTGCGCGCGGTGGCGTGCGGTGGACCCAAAGTGCGCGGTCCTTGGGGCATGACTGCAAGCTTGAGATTGGCAAATGAAGCCTTGCGACGATGTTACTTGGAGTTCCCTCTCGCGAAGAACATTAAAAGCTCCAAGCGAAACAAGCACGCAATTCCCGCGAGATGCTCATTGCTTGCATGCTTCCCGCAATTCCAGCGATGACACGTTTTGTCCATCAGCCCCGATTCCCCGCGCGTCACACCTCCAGCGAAAGATCACGAGGCATTTGCAGTCAGAAAATGTCAGGGCAGAATTTGCAGACAGGGGGAAGAAAAGGAAGCTCCTACGCCAGTCCGCTCTGCAAAGCCCAGCCCTGCCAAAGGCACAAAGTCTGGATGACGCAAATGCTACACGTGTCCCTGACATGTTAAAACTTCTGAACAGTTGGATCAGCACTAAAATGGACTTGCTTACTCCTAAGCTACGGATCAAATCTGAAACTGAGACGCCTGGGGGAGGAAAACAAAAAATACGATGCCCACTCGTCGCACTCTTCGAGTGCGAGGGGAACACTTCAAGGCATTCAAACTTTCAATCAAAAGGTCTTCTGGTTGCCTTCCGTTTTCTAGGTCTGTTCTCTGCGCGCCGCCGTTTTCACCCATGTTGAACCCTGGCACGGCACACGTGGTACGGCCTCTGCCGCTAGGCGGGCGCTCTCGGCCTCAATCGCAAGCGTGCCTTCCAGCCGAGAATCCGGAGCTGTGTCAATGAAGCTGTGGAAATGCTGAGGCGGCCACAATCACAAGCTTCTCGCTTTGAGCTTGGGCCTTCGGCAGGGTCACAAGGTGCATGTCTGACAGTGTACTATGTACTACTGCCCAGCTGGCTGGCTTTGTCTCTGGTTGACACAGCGGATGCCCTGGTTTCCCAATCAGTCACCACAACAGCCACCCTGGATTCAACCGTACGCAGACCGTTCAAAAGAAGGAGAACACATGAAAAAAATCTGCCAAATACTTAATAACACGGACCTTTACGGGCCACCTGCTTTTGGCTCATTCCCTCCAGCGGCATCCATTGCACATCCATCCCGATCGCCTGCTCGACCGCCTCGTCCAGCTGTTGCTGCAGCCGCTGCCTGGAGCTGAAGCGAATGATTCGACAAGTCCGGCAAGCCCCAGCCACGAGCCACAAACCGAATTTCCAGATAGCCATGGGTCAAAAATCCGTGGCCTCTTGTGAACATCTCAATCCCCACTAAAATAGACTAAATGGGTGGTGCACCTATCCCAAGTGGTACCATTGGCTTTGACCCACAGCCAAATTGCTCGTTGGGGTGCGCTGGGTGTCTGGCCGCTGCTGCTCCCAGGTCTGCATCATGTGCCACATCCTGCATCCCACCAAGCCCAAAGCGCCACAACATCAGAACGAAGTCGGCAACACTTCCCAGCCCCCTGCAGGCCCAAGCAAGGTGAGCCCAGTTCAAGCTGGCATGGAATCCACTTCTTGCTGGAAAGCTCCCACGTCCCTGTTTGGACAGCCTGCAAGTCAAATCTTCACTAGCCGAATATCTGCAGCGTGCTCATATGTTCCCCCCCCCCCCCCATCAGCAGGGGAGTTCCCACCCCAAGCACCTTCTCATCAGCTGGTGCGAACGTCCATCCTCAGCTTACAGATCTCAGGCATAAACCAGGGACATGGACAGCATGCAACTGGAGCGCCTCTTCCCGCAGCACCTCATCCACCATCGTGGACAAGCGGTACCTCGCCGGAGGAGACTCAAATCTCACCAAAGGAACCAGCCAAGGCACCAGTCATCGTCACCTTCGTCTCCGTCAAAATGGGCCTGGACCAGCAGGTCAATATGTGGATATACTCATGTGCATGTGTGTATATTTCAAATATACTGTCGTTCATACTATTTGGGGTCTTCTAGTTTCAAGTTTTAAGTATTTGTCCTCTCCTTGAGGGCCAAGCTGCATAAGAGTTGGCTGGGGCAGCCAGGAGAGTAGCTTTGTGTGGCAGCCAGGAGGGTAGCTTTAGGTGGGCTTCGAGCCTTTTGGGATGAGTTTAGGATTGGATTGAGGTTTGAGTTTTAGGCTGGGTTGTTGGTTGGATTGGGGTTGATTTGGAGTTGCTTTGAGGTTGTATTTGGGGCGGCTGAGTCACGGTTGCTTTAGGTCTTGTTTTAAGGTTTTAGGATGGGTCAAGATGGACTTTGGCTTGGTTTGGGGTGGGTTTAGGCTGGGTTCAGGCTGAATTTAGGGTAGGTGTTGTTACGTGCTTAATCTAGGCTGGGCTTAGGCTGGGTGTTGCTTTGGTTGGATATGGGATTGGTGCATGGTAAACACACGAGGGGAGCAAAAATATATGGCATCGCGCATTGCATGACAACTTGCTGATTTCGCAAGCCTTAATTAATACAAACTCAACAGGATTCTGCTTGTTGGCAATACTATCATTAGGAGTCCTGGATCATATCCAGAAACACATTCACATGCCCATCAACCCCGCACGCCCTCAAACAATCGAAAACTCTCCTCCGTGTCACCAACTTGCTTAACATCTTCAATGGCATCCAACTAGTGACACGTTTACTTCGCGACTACATGTCAAGAATAAGTATGGGGCGTGGCTTAGTCGAAGCGCTCCCGAACTCAACAGCCTAACCTATCTCGGCAGGAATTTGATTAGAGCCTCTATTGGTCCCTCAACCCAGGCTCCCAGCCTCGGCCAAGCCAAGAGCACCCATTGAGACAGTGTTGCGCCTGGGTGGACAACTCACGCACATGTCGGCCTCCAGCGTCCGGATGTCCAGTCCCCTTAATGGTCAATCATATAGGTTGGTTGGGCAGCTGATTGAAGTCTGAATTATCATGAGCCACATGTACCTGCAGACTCGAGCCTCGGTTGGATGCTGGTACTGGCCCTGGTAGATAATTAAACCACCAGGTAAAACAGGGCCATCTATTTTTCTAGCAAAACAACCAAAAAGGACACCTATGTCCAGTCCCCTTGGACCTACCACGACTCCCGTCGGCTTTGCGCCTCCTTAGCGGCGAGGCCGAGGCCGGCGAGCTCGGCGTCAGCGCGCGCCGCGGCGACACCTGGCGAGAGTCGGATGCCGGGAGGTCAGCCGGCTCACTGACGAAACTTTCAGTGCTGGGTTGGTCAGTATGGACTCAATTCAAACAAAACAATGAGACTCCTGAGCCTCAAGCTTCGGACAGGTGGAAAGGAAATCTCCAAAGTTGGAAGAACAACCAGACGCTTCGGCCCAGTGCTATACTCACAAGGCCCCGAGCAACCGAAACGCTGCTGCTGGCACGCCTGGGGGGATTCCACCTCCTGCAAAAGCTCGCCCTTTCCAGAGTATGCACTAAGAACATTCACCCTACGAAAGAATCGCGATAACGTGGCTTCAATGAGCATCCCAAGAGCGTGGGTGTAGTGTAGTGATCACGATTCATCTCAGTCCCACTCCTCCTCCTCCTCTATGGCAGTATCAAAGAACAGCTCTTCCAACTTTTCGATGTGCCTTGGACCAAAATGCAAAAAAACCTAACTAACGCCTCTGGCTGATCTGAGTCCCGCACCAAGGGCCATGGCCCAGCTGAGTCTCCTGCGAAAGGGCTCAGGGCTTGCAAATCAACCAGCGGGTCCCCGGGTTGCAGCATGTTCCAAGCGAAAAGGCAACAGAATCGTGGCCCTCTTGCTGCCAAGAATCCAAGGTGGCCGCAACTGACTCGAAGCCTCGCTCCAAGCACGTGCAACGAAAAGCTCCGCAAACAGGCGGACAAGGCGCCTGGGACGCTCTGCAGAGCCTCTTCCGCAACGCAGCCGTCGTGGGCAAGATTGCCTGAGACAGGCAGAGTCCTCCACATGGCCTGCCTGAACTGACACACTCGGGCCCTTCAGTTTGACTGGAAGGCAGAACTGCTCGCACAGCAATCCAAGCTGCGCAAAGCCTCTCGCAGCATTTGCACCTGCAAAAATGCGGCCAAGAAAAGCCCTGTGAAGTGTGCGGCCGGAGGACAGAATGGAGCATCTGAGCCTGAACAACCCAACAACCCTTGGCGACTGTCTTTCACTTTTTTTCTCACCGCGCAACAGTCAGATAGCGATCGTTTCTCACTGTGGCCACGAACTCCGGAGCCGCTGGAGAGCGGACACTTGCCTGCATCGCAAACGCAGCCCGGTACAGATCGGCTCAACATGCTCAATTCCAAGGAACGACTGCCCTGCCCGACATTGAACCACAGGCACATAGTGGCTCTACATTCAAGCCCAATTCTAGTCCATGGCTTCCATGATTTGGTCCCAGGCCTCGAAGAAGGGAGAGCTGCCGCCGCCGACCGTGATGAAGGTCTCTGCGTCACCACCTGTGAGGCACGTGCAAAATTGTCGGCCTCACAACCACTCGGAAGTAACCAGAGTGCTGGTCAGTACAGGATCAATCAGTTCCACTTCCACAAACAGACACATCCCCGAAATCAAACCAACATCAAACAATCTTGAAACTGCCAAGGCACAAATGGGAAATGGATCCTCAGAGTAGGGCAAGAGCTCCGCCAGTTGCGCAGTGAACCGTCCTGAAGTGACGGCTCGCTTGCTCGGGGAACGCATGCTAAATGATCGAGCAGCGATTCAAAGCTCCGCAGGTTGGACTCTGCTCCCCTCAAATGGTCTCGCATGCCCCCGCCGAAAGCGCAGAGGACTCAGCCGGGGCTTCCCGTGGGCGCTGATCAGCTTGGACCGTTGCTGCCAGAGCTCCCCCGTTCTCTTTCGCGAAGGCATGCTGCGCATAGTAGACCGCCATGGCCGCACTTCGGCTGGGCCACTCCTGGGAACTGCAGGAAAGAAAACGTGAAATGGTCACCTCATCGCACCCTGTCAGGCCAGACCGGAAATCTTTCAAGCAGCTTTCAAGCAGCTTTCAAGCAGCTTTCAAGCAGCTTTCAAGCAGCTCGACACGGCTGAGGCTCCCGGTAGTAGGAAGCCTTCGTCGCATTCACGGAGTCTTCAAACTGCAAGATGCCCCACCGCTCTGGTAAGTGCATGTTGATGGCATACCTAGGAAGGCAAAGCAAACGATGCTCGTTGCATGATCATGGTTGCTTGCTTCTCGGACTCGAATTCTGGAACTTGGCACACCTTTCTAGTCACCTGAAGCTGAAGGGTCTGCTCTTGTAGCTTTCCTTGAAGGATGGGCCTTCTGAAGCCGAGGGGCTGTGAAGACCAGACCCAGTTGTCCTCCTTGGCTTCTCCAGGCACAGGGCAGGACTGGCAGGCGGGCTTCTTCTCATAGCCCTCAGGCTTCGCCTGCAACGCGTGTGGCGTTGCGTTCTGCTGAGGCGTCCGGTCAAAGTCCATTCACAGCAACTAAATGGATTCGTGCAGCCAGAAGATGACCTGATATGACGGTCACAAAGTCGAATATACGCGAAGCTCCCTTTTGGGAATCATCTCCTTGGGCCCAAACGGCCCAATGCAGTCCTCAAGAACACATCCTTTAAGGGAAAGGAACTACCGGGGATGCGTTGCACCTGCTGCCTCCATCGAGACATCCCGGGCCTCGAGGTGCCACTGCACTCGACTGAAGCCCAGCCGCCAGAAGCTGCCAGGCACAGGCAGCGCTGCGCCTGCCAGCCCGTGCAACGCGCGAGGAACAGACATCATCGATGTGCAAGCCATGTTTTGAGGCCTGCGACACATGGCCGTGGGTCAACACCAATGGTACCATTTGGGGGTAGGTGCACCACCCATCTTAGTCTATTTTAGTGGGGATTGGGATGTTCACTGGGGGGTAGGGGGTTTTGACCCATAGCCACATGACCATGGAAGCAAACCTGATCCGGATAACACCCACAGCAGCTGCGCCTGTGCTCTCCGCCAGGCTTGCCAAAGGCAGAGCGATCTCCACGGTCCAGTGCCGGCCCTGCATAGAGAGACCGCCAATAGAGGGACTGCAAACAGCTGCCAGCCTTCTTCTGGAGGCAAATTTAACAAAGCTTGGCATGCGGGACCCTTGCAACGACAGCATCTCGAAAGCCTTCGACTTTGCTGACTGTCCTGACGGTGGCCTCCGGATGCTGCGAGTGTGCAAAGCTTCCAAGTGACTACTGCTCTACTCAAACTGCTGTCCAAGTTCTCGAGCACCTTTTTTTGTACTAACCCTATCTTGTCCAATCCAACCCTTGGTCGGTGAAAACTCAACTCGGACTCTCTTCGCGCGATATGAAAACCGATGGAAATGCGCCAATTCAATGCAATGCCCTAGTTGTCCGCATAAACCTATTGAAACCCAACACAACACATAAAGTCCCAGAAACAAGCTCGCCTGACACACCCAATTCGGCCTCCTCTGCAGGCTGGTTCAGCGCGCTCGGGGGAACCACAGCCGTCGCGCACCGCACTGCCATGGTCCAGCCGTCAGGCCGCACCCTCCGCGAGTTCTCCTCGGAGCGGACCCCGTCGTTCTTTTTGCTTCATTGCCTCCGTGTACGCCCAAACAAACCTCTGCGTCTTTTCCTGTTTGGAGCGGGGCTTCGCAAAGTACCATTGAGGGGCTTGTGGCCTTTGGTGGCTCCTCTATTCCGCTTCCACCACGCTGCTACAAATTGGATTATAAAGAGTAAACGACGCCCCAAGCGCAGCACTGTGATAGGCTGTTCATTGCTAAGCATCGCTGCCACCATCGCTATAGGGCCTGTTCAACTGCAGTTCCCAGGTCGTGTTGAAGGCATTCATCTCAAACTCCTTGTAGAAGTGAGTTGTAGCCTCAGACTCTCAGGAAAGGCAAGCAGCAGGCAGGCTGAACGGCAGCCCTTGCATATTGTGAGAATTACTGACTTTATGTATCCTGGCGGCATTTGGATCAACAAAGACCTCGAAGTCGTTGTCCTGCAGGTGGGCATTGAAGCGTGCTTGGTGCAGGTTGGTAGAACTTGCTCCAAGGACGCAAGGGCAAAACACTGGCTGGCTCGGCGCCGTATGAACCAAGCAGCACGAATAGCAGGTTGCAAATTGGAACTCAACACGCTAGGGAAACCCGTCAGGCTGGGGCTTGCCTTGGCCTCTGGGACCAATCTGACTCTTCCTTCCCCTCATGTTGATCCAAACATGCTGGCTACCCCCTTTCCCTTTGCGCACCTCGAAAATGACACTATTGTGCTTGCGCAGCGTGGCCCAGGGCTGCGGCTCTTGCAGCTCGGCCGCCACGTAGAGGAACCTCCCAAGCAAGGCACCCAAAAAGGGCGTGGCAAAGTGTGGCAAGGCGCAATCGCGTCCCACCCCCAGCTTTTCACGGCGCGCGCAGGATAAGATGCACCCCCGACATGGTGGACACGACGCCCGAGACCTCGCCCACTTTCAGTGCAAAGGAGGCGTCCTCAAAGGCCAGCTCCCGCTGGCCCCGGCGGAACCGGCCGTAGTCGCCCCCCTTCTTGGCCGAGCCGCAGTCCGACTCCGAGCGCGCCAGGGCCGCGAAGCTGGCGCGCAGCTTGTCGCCGGAGAGGCCCACCAACTGGTTGGCGATCTCCTCCAAGTACTGCTCCGCCTCCTGCTGGCTGCAGGTGACCGCCTGCCCTGCCCTCTTGGGGTGCCGCGAACCCCGATGCTTGCGAAGGATGTGCAACACGTGCACTTCCTGTGGCTCGCCCTCATTCTCCTCAGATTGCGGCGAGCTGCCGTTCACCACGGCCTCCCTCTCGGCTCCCTCAACGCTCTCGTCTCGGCCCGCGTCCGCCTCCTGCAAAAGGCCCAACAGCCCTGGGCCTGCAGGTGCCTCAGCAACCAGGCGCGGGGCCGGGGCCACATCGATGACCCGCGGCTTCTTCTCCGGCGGCTCCTCTGCTGCTGCGTCCACCTGGCCGCAGCTCATGATGGTCACCTTCTTCGCCACACGTCCGGACCGGTGGCCCAAGGCCTCCATCTTCTCCACCACCTCGTAGCCGCTGCTCACCTGGCCGAAGACCACGTGCTTGCCGTCCAGGTGCGGCGTTGCATCTGTGCAAATGAAGAATTGCGAGCCGTTGGTGTGAGGACCCGAGTTCGCCATCGACAAACACCCCTTCTTGTGTTTCAGCTTGAAGTTCTCATCTGAAAACTGTTCACCATAGATGGATTCGCCGCCCGTCCCATCGCCCCGAGTAAAGTCGCCTCCCTGGCACATAAACTGAGGAATGATGCGGTGGAACATGGAGCCTTCCAAGCTCAGTCGCTGCTTGGTCCTCTGGCTGCGGCCCATCTCACCCGTGCAAAGACAGCGAAAGTTTTCGGCTGTCTTGGGAACGACGTCAGAGAACAGCTCAAACTCAATACGGCCTTCCCACGAACCATCCACAGCGATCTCAAAGAAAACCCTCACATTCTTGGGCTCAGCTTTCTCTGCAGGCGTCACCCCCATCCGAGCCAATAAGGCAGCCTTCTTCTCTGCCGCCGCCTGCGCTTGCTCTTCCACCTGACTCCTCTTGCCGTCGCGGCTGGCCAGCTCCTTCTTAAACTCATCGCTTTCAAGAAATACCTCTGGCTCTTGAACTTCTGCATCAGCCGGCTGCGCTGTCTGCGCATTCTCCGCCATCTCCTCGGCTTGCTTCAGGACCATCTCCAGCATGTCGTGGCGCATCTGCTCCTGGCCTTCCGGCGGAGCGCTCTCGTAGACCTCCATGATCTCCGCCTTGTACTCCGGCGGCGGGCCGTCGCCCGACACCGCTGACTGCCGGATCCACGTATCAATAATCTCCCCAAAGCTGGAGGACGCGTCCAGGGCCCGGGGCTCCATCACAGTCTGCTCTGCTCCTGGCGTTGCACAGTCTGCCGGCAGTCCCTGCGGCGATCGGGCCTGCAATGGCAGGGTGTCTCCTCCAGACATCTCTGCCGCAAGCCCAGCGAGCTCTGGAGGCTTCGCCGGCTCGGGCTCGGGATCCGGTCGGACCTGCTCATCTTGCTCCTGTTCCCGGCAGACTGGAGCCTCACCCTCTGCATCCTCGTCGGAGTCAGAGTAGTAATTCAGCATTGCACGGCACGAGGCTTGTGATGTGCAATTCGATTAAATGTCTCTCAAGCAAATCATCTGCAGCAAGTGCTTCAACCGTCAATTGTCATGTGTTCTCTTGTTCGGCCATGTATTCCCTGTATGCATTGTCGCATGTTCGACAATGGGCCGCTGGAACGGCAAGCTTGGCTCAGAAGATATGGCACGCCATGGGCTGCTGATTCAATAGAATGTATATCCGATCACTGCACTATTACATGTCGAAGGGCAAGTAAGTAGCAACTTGAGGATTGCTGTTTCACGGTCTGGTGACTCGCCCAAAATCCGATCATACAAATACCTCAAATGGTGGCTCAGGAAAACCTCTCGGGTGACAAATGTAGTGCATTCATGTTCTGGCATCCAAAAACTGGCCACAGCCCCGGGACTTTGAGATCCCAAGCTGTTTTTGCCTGGCCCACGCCACGAGTGTTCACCAAAATCCGGGTATGCAACTGCAGCCAACCGGCCAATTGGGTATCCGGGCATGCCCACTTGGCCCTACACAGGAATCCGTAAATGAGCTCTTGTCGTTTGGCTTTCCCTTGAACACCAACCACCAGGGGCTCCGTGTTGGGACACCCCCCCCAATGCCCTTGAGCCCCTTCTGCCCAGCGCCTGTCGTCCCAGCGCATCTTGGCGCGGCTGCGAAGCCGCGGAGCCGTGTGCGTGCTGATGTCCACAAAGTCCTCCGTGAGACAAAGAGTTGAGTACGGGTCAAAATTAAACCACCAGGGGGCCGCTGGTTTTAACCGTTGGTTCCATTTACCAGGGTTCCATTGTGGCTGCCCATGTTTGACCCACAGCCAGGTGAACCCATTGAAAGTCCGAGGCTGGACAGTCTGCCCAAACCGGACCTTCATCCTTCCCCCAAATCAAAAGCTGCACTTCCAAGACCTTGCAGGCTCGGCAGGAGATTGAACCAAGTCTGGGGGCAGGTCCTTTTTCACTTTGGGCCCTTTGCACAAAAAAATAGCCAGGCTTGACACGGCAACATCCCCTCACTGTACATCTGGCTCCGGCCTTCGTCCAGGCCACCTCCTCCCATGCCTTCTTGCTGAGGTCGCCCGAGAGACTGAGCTCGGAGAGCTCCGCAGTCTTGTAAACCACATACCTCGCAACCAGGCACAAGCCAGGTTCGGAAGGAACTTCCGAGCAGGTTGAAGCTGCCAAGCCGCTGCTCTGGATAGACGTTGCCGTAGCTGCAGTCCTGGCCTACAGGGCATCACGAGCTACGCTCGGCCGACGAGGAAGCCAACAGAGGCAAGGCACCCCACGGCCTCCGTTCATCAGGGTCGCAGATTCTGCCCCCATGGCGAGCGCCAGCCACCACATCACGGCAATCTCTCGTGTGCGTTTGGTGCGTTTGGTGTTGACGCCACTCAAGGAGGCCTTGCCTCACAGACTAGACGTGACCTTCAGCTTCAGCTTAGTGACACATCACTCACTCTCTCGCATTTCGAACAGCTGTCGAAGCTGCACACTGCTCGGCGGGCAGGGGACTTAGCATCAAGAAGCACTTGCCACAAACTGGCCCACCCCCACAGGCCTGATCACCATCCAGGTGCTGGTCCTCCAAGGCGCAACAAACGATATGCGCCCTCTCTCCTATCCTGAGAAGTGCGGCCAGAAAAAGAATAAACGTGCCTCAGTGTTTTGAAACATGAAGGTTCGAGAGTCTTCCGGAATGAGGGCAAAACTGAATCTCTTCGTGTGTCCTGGCATGAGCGCCTCCAAAGGACTTGCGAGCTCTTGATTGGCGAGCCCAAGAGCTGTGGAATGCTGAACTGGCTGAATGTGCAAGGTCTAAAATGTGGCGTTTTCATCTCAATTTGCGGGATGAAAAGCAAAGGGACCAAGCCGTTCGGAGCAACCCGGAAGCTCCTCAGCCCTCGGCGAGCGCGAGTTTGTCATGGCGAGCGCGAGTTGATTGCCCGACGGGTCAGTGTCGGCTCTGGGCGTCTGTCGAAACTGCAACACTTGTAGATGCGGCCGCTGATAAACTACATTGGTTGAGGTCGCATGCATCGTTGATTGCTCCTTTGTATGCATGATGTCATTGCCAACCACTGCAAGCAGTCTGAACCATATGACAAAGACGAACACGGCACAGTGCCCGCACGATTCAACTCTAAGCCTCGTAGCGTTCAATGGTGAAGCACCCAGGTCCAGTCATCGGTTTCAAATTCTGACTCTGAACAGAGTAAGAAAACAAGTCTGTCGTTGCAGCAACATCCTTCACATGTAACATCAATCTTCGAGTCTTCCAAGTTCTACACTTAAGTTGTGAGCACGTTCCTCATTCCAGTGGAATACAAAATTGAGCACCGGACGTCATTTTAAAGGTCCCATCGTCAACAGCCAAAGTTTAGAAGGCCGATTCCGACCTTGGAAGGAGCAAAATTTGGCTCCTGGCAAAAAACGGAAACTGCACCTTGTGGTTCTGGCATCCTTGAGGAATGGTCCACAGCAACTCTGGCGGTTTTTAACCCTGAGAAACAACAAAATGGTCACCCTGTGGCTTGGTGCTTGGTTTCGCTTCCATAATAGGCAACCCGCGACAAGCATAAGGTAGACACATGTTTTCTGTGGGGCGAACACAACGTCAGGCCTGTGGTTTCGAGGTGCTAAACAAATGGCGAACTACCTGGCGCACATTCTGAAAAACAACACCACCAAAACAAACTAAATACACACAGGTAGACTTTTGAGGGAGGAAGCCAATCAAAGTCGAGGGCTAAACTTCGAGTAATGATGCAATTCTGCATCGGCCTAGCAAATAGAACACTTCCTTTTTAAACGGTTGCAGCTAGGAAAAAAAAATTACAACTGAAAAAATATTCTACCTGACTAAAACGCATGAGTAACCCGTAGCTCATCATATTCTAACTGTGGAATCCATCTTGTAACTAAATCAAACTGTGGCACATTCCATGATTTATTCAAGCTTAAATACTGACAATACCAAATTCACTACTGGCACTACTGAGTTCCGGAATGGGAACCTAAAATCAAGAAATGACGGTAATAGGTAATAAGTTTAGTATTGGCAATACTGAGTTTAGTTGTCAAAAACAAAGAGGAAGTATTGACAATACTAAGTCCAGTACTGGGAGTACTGAGTCAGTACTGGGAACCGAAGGGGTGCAATGGCCTCACTGAAACCAACCAAGGGGCAACAGCCGTGGGGAAGAGTGAGGCAACCTCACCACGCGGTACGCAAGCTGCGTTGCATGCGCGCTGCTAAGGTCAGAAGCAACAACGGTGATCACCTGTGCACTGGTAAGCCAGGCAAGGCCACACTGAGCCACGCCCCCAGCGTGGAAGAGGCCCCCCCCGTTCGATCACGAGACGCCTCATATGGTACAGTATGAGGGCTCCAGGAACAGTGGCAGCCTCACCAAGCCGCCAACTTTGTGCAAAGGTAAATCCACGCCAGTGGCGCTTGGTAAGGCGACGACCATTGAAGTAGAAAATCGTGTCCAGAGGTTTTGTTATTATCCGCTCGAGCGACGCAGCACAATGGCCATGCTGACTTTGACGAAAGCGCAAATCACGAGGAGAACTGGGAGAAGATCGAACACAAAAAAAAAACGCGAAATAACTCAAGTCGCTCCGCACCTTTTGTGACTGGTGTCACTCAGAGGTACAGGCTCTGGGGCGCAGAGGTGTTGACAACGCGTGTCCAACCCCCGCGTCTGCACCCGCTGCGGAGCCCGTGATCGTACCCCCCGGTCAACAACGCATTACATTACAGTACGTTACATTACATTACATTACCTACATACATTCATACGTTACATTACATTACATTACATTACATTACATTACATTACATTACCACATACATACATACGTACATACATACATGCATGCATCCATACATACATACATACATACATACACATACATACATACATACATACATACAAACATACATACAAACATACACACACATTACACATACATACATACATACATACATACATACATACATACATACATACATACATACATACATACACACACACACATACATACATACATACATACATACATACATACATACATACACAACATCTCTCTGGCAAACTGGCCGGTTCGTCCCAGCAGCGGGCGCAGCGTGGTACACCGTGGGCGCAGTGATGCGGGCGGCTACACCCTGACCCTGGCAGTGAACCCCTGGAAAATCGCGCGCACCTACAGCCTGACGCCCGGCCGGGAGCTCCTCTTTGCCTGCCGGTATCGGCTCGGCACGGCCTCCAACTTCGTGGCGCACATGTCCGAGGCCGACAACGTCTACGACCCTCTGTACGGCAACTTCGTGGGTTTGGTGAGGCAAGGCCACTGCGTTTGGGCTTCTGCGAAATCCCACGTTTCCGCGAACCAGGAAACGCAATGCCCGGAACTGAACCATCCACCTATGCCCACGATGCTGCCCTCTGCACATGCGTCAGCGGCTGCCTTACACGCAAGCATGGGCTTGTTCCTTAGCGGGCGTGCCATGTCCACCTCAAAGCACTGAATGAGCCATTCCACCGCTGGCTTTGCTGGCTTTGGACAGGCGGGTATGCTCAGCCAAAGGGTCAGCTACACGCAGCCAGACGGCTTTAGGCTCTGGGCCACCAGGTCAGCTGGCAGGATGTGTGGAACAGCCAGCCACAGTTGTCAAACGGTCTGAGTGGCTGTCGCGGCGCCGCCTGGACCTGACCGGCTCTGGCGGACCCTGCGGCCAAATCCCCTGAACATCATTCCTTTCACGTCAGTCTCGTTAAGTCCAGGCGGCACGAACAAGGTGGCCTTGCAGCGTTCTTGCTTTGGTGCGGTTTTGACCGAGCGAGTTCGCTAGTTTGGGTTCGTCGGTTGCTGAAAACAGCAGAGGATTCTACAGCGCAGACGTTTGCTTTTACTCCGTTCGCGCGCGCGCCACACCTGCCTTGCATTCTTTTGCTTGCCCCAAGAAGGAATCTAAAGGTTGCGCGCTGTCATGCGCTGCGTTTTTTGGAAGACCACAAGTATTTGTCGCTTGTCTCGGGTCGGGTTTTGTCCGGGCAGCGGTGTGTTTCTCGCGCGCAGCCAAGAGATACCGGGGTGCTGGATGTTGCAGATGCATTTTTGACTGTGAAGCAGCGTACGCCAACCAAGGTCAAGCGCATGACTGCCTCAGGTGGATCGTGCTGGTCTTCGCTGGGAAAGGTGCTTCCTGGAAAGAGAGACGCAAGTTTTATCCAGCACTGCTGAAGATTGATTTGGGAAAAAGAGGTGTGTGGATGACATGATGTACGGTGCAAACAGAAGAGCGTGTTCGCAATCTGTGTCGCTAAACTGCTTTGCGCTGTTGCGCTGCTGCGCTGCTTTGCTGCTGCACCGCTGCGCTGTTGCGCCGCTCAAGCCGCCTCCGTTGACGTGCGCCGCTGCGCCGTTGAGCCGCTGCGCTGCTGCACCGCTGCGCCGTGGCGCCGCTGCGCTGTTGCGCCGTTGCGCTTTTGCACCGCTGCGCTGTTACGACGTTGCGCCGCTGCGCCGCAACACTGCTGCGCCGTTGCTTCGTTAGGCTGTTGCGCCATTGCGCTGTTACGCAGTTGCGCCTTGGCGCATTTGCGCTGTTACGCCGTTGCTCTGTTGCGCCGCTGCACTGCTGCGCTCCGCCGTTGCGCCGTTCCGCTGTTACCCCGCTGCGCTGTTAGGCTGTTGCGCCGTTGCTCTGTTACGCCGCGGCGGTGTCACGCCGCTGCGCCGCTGCGTCGTTGCGCCGTTGCGCGTTTGTGCCGTTACGCCGCGGCGCTGTTGCGCCGCTGCGCCGTTGCTCCGGTGCGCTGTTGCGCCGTTGCGCTTGCGCGCCGTTTTCCGCCGAGCAAGCTTACGAAACCAAGCAGGCGTCTTCTGCAGCGCGCCTGCGGTTTTTATACTGCGTGTGTCCGACTAGTCACCAAGGCAGATTGCTCTACCACATCTACCACATGTACCCACATACCTAGCTATCCTATCTATCCTATCGTTCCTAGGTATCTCATCGTATATGTAAGTCTTATCGCTCTTGTCTATCAAATCTGTCCTTTTTATCATATAATATCATGTCTTCCTCTATCTCATTTTACGCTGGCTTATCATATCTTTCTCATCGCGCCCTAGCTTACCCCAAACAAAGTATCCTATATTGTCCCGTCTTACCCTATCTTCTCATATGATCTTATCCTATCCTACCTTATCATGTGTATCTATCTATCTACTTATCAATTCTATCCATCCTAAAACCCCTATCTGTCTTATCGGTTTCACCGTGTTTTTCTATCTTGCCTACCTGATCTATCTGAAGTCTTATCTACCTTATCTACCGCATCTACCTTGCCAAGCTTAGTCTGATCAAACCTTACCCTGTCGCAGCCTACATCAACCCATCTTATCCTATATGATGCTATCCTATCCTCAACATCCTCTCTCATCCCACGTTAGCCTACCTTGCCGGTCCTACCGTATCCTATCTTACCCTATGTACCGATATATCTATCTATCTTTCTTTCTATCTACTTATCTATATTTATATCTTCTATACCTATCTGATCCTATATCGCCGCTTATTATCCTTCCATATCCTCCCGCGCGCTGTCCAATCCTGTCTTGTCCTGTCTTACCCTACCTTCTCCCATCTTCTCCTATCGTCTATCTATCTATCTACATGGCTATCTATCGCATCTTTTGTGTCTTTTCTGCGTTGTCTATCATATCTATCATATCTATCATATCTATACATTATCATGTCTTATCCTGTCTTCCCTATCTTATCCTGTATTGCCCTATCTTCTCCTAAAAAAAAATGCATTATCCTATCTTGTCCTATCTCCTATCTTAGCCTATCTTATCCTTTGTATAAATCGATGTGTGTATCTATCTACAATACATTTACCTATACATCTATGTGTCAGTCAATATATTGCTATCCCCATCTTATCCTATCTTACCCTATCTTATCCTATCTCATCCTACCTTACCCTAATAAATTATCCTGTACTATCCTGTATTAGCGTATATTATCGTATCTTCATCGTTCCGATCAATCTCATCGTATATGTAAGTCTTAATCGCTCTTATCTATCATATCGATCATATCTACCTTATCTACATTACCTACCTTGTGTTGTCTGTGTCTTACCCTATCTTAACTTGTCTTTCCTGCTTTATCCTACAATATCCCATCGCAGCCCATCGCATCCTATCTTGCCCCATATTATCCTATCTCATCAATCGTTTCTATCCTACCTTTCTGATCTATCTTATCTCTTATCTGCCTGATTACCTTGTCTATCATGTCTATTCCATTCATGTTATCTACCTTGTCTACCTTACCTACCTTTACATTATCCTGTCTTAGCCTACCTTAGCCTATCTTATATTGCCGTACTATCTTCTCCTACCTTACCCCATTCTAGTCTATCTTGCCGCGCCTTATCCTATTTTATCCGACCGTAGCCTGTCTTATCCTATGTGTCTACTTGTCTATCTATCTATCTACACACCTACGTATCTATCCATCCTATCTCATTTTCTCCTAACTACCATATCTACATTATTTCCTGCTTGTCCTCTCTATCTCATCGCGTCTATCTTATCTATATGTCCTGTCTTATCTACCTGATGTCTTATCTACCTTGTCTATCATATCTATCACAGATATATATATTTTTATCCTCTGGGAGACCCTAAGACCCATCACCAACAGAGTTGTCACACGCCTCAAATCAGAAAAGCGTCACACCAGCATTATACAAAAGCTTGAGCCAAAGGAAAAGCGTGACATGACACAGAGTCATGAAACACAACAAACCGCACCGTAACAAAAGAAACGCAACTGTAAAGTATATCATTCCACTCCTGAAATCATGATATACAAACAGTCACTATATAAAATTATATATCCATCGCATTCTCATTAAATCATTTCTCAGCCAGAAATGGGGAAGTCAGGTCTCCTTCGAGACGCGCCGCGCACGGCGGAGGGATGCACCAGCTTTCTGGTGTCCCTCAAGGCTCTTTTGATCGATTCCCCTTCGGGAAGATCAAGCCTTTCAGACACCCCTTTCCCTTCGGAAAGTGAAGCCTTTCAAACCCTCGCTTGAGCTCCCCCTTCGGGAATATCAAGCTGGAGAGACTACTCCTCCTGAAGTACCAGCTATCTGGTACGAAGTAAAGAGGGCGGGCGGGTGGGAAAAAAATTCTCAAGCGGCCATTGCAAAAAACGAGGAGCTCCCACCCACCCCTTGGGTCTGTGCAATGGCGGTGGTGTGCAACGAAGTGTTGTTCATCCACAAAAACAACACATCAAAGCAAGGCCGTTTGTGAACAACTTTAAAAAGTTTGCTGATGGGAATGTTAGTGCCCCAGCACAAACACCAGGGGTCCCCTTTGTGGATAAGGAATTATCACTAAAGTGAGAATCATCTTATCCTCTGGGAGACCCTAAGACCCATCACCAACAGAGTTGTCACACGCCTCAAATCAGAAAAGCGTCACACCAGCATTATACAAAAGCTTGAGCCAAAGGAAAAGCGTGACATGACACAGAGTCATGAAACACAACAAACCGCACCGTAACAAAAGAAACGCAACTGTAAAGTATATCATTCCACTCCTGAAATCATGATATACAAACAGTCACTATATAAAATTATATATCCATCGCATTCTCATTAAATCATTTCTCAGCCAGAAATGGGGAAGTCAGGTCTCCTTCGGGATGCACCAGCTTTCTGGTGTCCCTCAAGGCTCTTTTGATCGATTCCCCTTCGGGAAGATCAAGCCTTTCAGACACCCCATTCTACAAGCCCAAGCCAAGTGCCAATCTCTTGCAGGCCTCAGTCACTATTGGCCTGACTCTGATGAAATGCGATGGATATCCTTCGAAGTTCAAACGAGACGCATCGTCAGCAGGGTTCGAGGCAGAAGGGACCCTGGCATACCACGATGTTGCACAGATCTCAGAGTCAACCTGCGCATTTGCTCTCAACAGCCTGCCGTTGTCGACGACCGGGGAGAAAGCGCGGACAAACGCATACCTTGCACTCTCATTGTCAATGAACCACAGCAGCTTGCGTTCCTTCAGCTTCGCAGACCACGTGCACTTGGCCACAATGACAGGCCACATCTCTGCTTGACATATGACTTGCCTTTTTCCTTGTACAGTCCAACTGCTGACCAGTTCATGGTCAATGTGGTCGCCGAAAAATTCGACATTGCAATCCAAAGGGTCAAAACAAACTGCTCCGAAAGTGACAGTAGCTGCTTCGTCTTCGCAAGCTCCGTCAGTGAAAATTACCACTGGTGGTCTGTAGTCACTTGCCCATATTTGACGGTCGCGAGCATTGGCCAGCGTGTCCACCGCAAGTTTCAATGTTTCCACAAGGTCCTCATCCAGTTCCATTTGGGCCCTGCCCCTGACTCTTGCGCTGATCTGTTGCACTGCTAGCTGTGAAGTCCGGCCCATGGTGAAACCGCTGGCAAAGAGGAGCCTACCTCTTAGCGAGTCCAACTCCTTGGCCAGCACACGCCTTCTGTCGACCAGCTCTGAAACACAGCGTCGGATCTCTTCAATCCTTCCTGGCTTGTTTCTCAGAACAATCAACCCTTGTCCAGTTGCGTCCAAAACTACAGTTGCACCCAGCATGTCGAACTCACTGCGAAAAGGTTTCCTCTTGTCCTCCCCCATGGAGATGTTCCAACCCAACATTTGCAAGACAGTCTCGGCTGTCTCATGCGCAGATGCGGCCAGTTGGGAGACCTCCAACTGGCAGTAGTCGTCAAAGAAATTGGTGTTCACGATCCGAAACAGTCTGACCAGTATCTGGCTAAGACACCTGGCCACTCGATTGAAACCCAGTACTGAACTCACGGCTCCAAAGGGAAGTGCTACGGCCTCAAAGAAACACACTTCGCCATCGTCGGGATTTGCAGCTGCAATGATTGAGCACCATGCATGGTCCGGGTGACGCGCCAGCTGTTTGTAAGCTGCCTTCAAGTCCAGGGCTCGTCCCAGGATGCCGCTCCGGCAGTGTTCCAAGCGACTGCCATCAAGAGCAGCTACAAACATCCTAGCCGTCGCTCCCACGTCATCAATCCCTTCCAAAACAATCTGCTCAAAGGTACTTGTTGAAGCATTTATCCCAAACTGGGAGAAATCATCCCTTTCCAGACTGGCGAACCCCGAACCTGCGGGAAGGGATCCAGAGTGGACCATGCCTGAGTGTCACTTCCTCCTTCGTGAAGGGACCCTTGGCCATCTGTCGCTTGCTCGACAGACTCCTTCCATACTGCAGCAGCAACCTCGGGGTCAAGCAAGACTTTGCGACACTCTTGTTCAATGCAAGCTTGGGCAAATGGGGCAGTTTTCTGAAGTTCCTCAGCGCTCATGCTTGCCAATCTCAATTTGCTCCGAAACTGCCCAGAGGGCTCCAGCTGCCCGACCAACTTGAAGCCTTCGCACAAGTCACGGAAAAGGAACTCATCATCTATCTCTGCATCTTCGCACAGTCTCTTGAAGAGCAAAAGTTGCTTCTTTGCAAGAACAGTCTGCAAATCAGGGTGCAGACCCTGGTGAAGAGCGATCTCCTCGTTCCTCAAATCTCTGGCAACCTTCTTGTATTTGATAATCTGTTCAAGCCTGAACTTTGCAACCATCAGGGCGCTGTTCGAAGATATCCAGCAGATTGCTTTCCAATTGTCCTCACCAAAAGCGCCCAACTCGTCAGTTGGGTGTGGCTGCTCCAAAGCATATCTGGTGAAGTCCCTTGGTTCGAAAAAACTGCCATACTCCGCCATCTTGCGCGCCTCTCGCCGTCCAGCATCTGTACCATTCACACCCCCATCCACATGTTTGGAAAAGATGCGAATCAATTTGGATTTCTTGGGCACTGAGGCCAACCAAATGGGCGCATTGTCATCAAGGCGCATAGGTGGTGTCTGACCATCGGGCACCTGGATTTGGAAAGTCTGAGCAAATTCGGGCACCACGGCGCGAGATATCTTGCGATGCTGCCTCTGTGATGCCAAAGCGGCCTGAGATGCGTGGGTTGGCTCAGGGTTCACCCCGCGCTTGGCAAGCTCTTGCCGGAAGCATTGGGCTATGCACCTGGCTAGTCCGGCAGGATACTCAGCTTCACCAGATGTCGCAAACTTCCAGTGTCCCTGCTGCATGGTGGCATTCCAGGGCTCGTGCACGTGCGACCCATCACACTGCAGACACAGTTCAGACATGTCAAAATTGGCCAGGAAACCTGTGGCTTTCCGTCGAGAGCCCCCGTACATGCACGAGTGACACTGGAACATTTTGAAACTGAGGAGCTCGGAAACATGCACAAACCAGGGTGTAAGCCACATGAAGCTTCGGGCTGGGTTCTCAACCGCAACCAAACAACCATAGTCTTGAGCGACTTCGCAAAGTGCTGCAGAGAAAGCATACAACTGGTTTGCCTGCGTCACCTTGCTTAGAGCCACGCCTCTGAGGCTGGGGAAGCCACAGGGATAGCTGTCGGAGCGAAGAGGCCGTGGCTGTGGTACACCACGCGATCTCAAATGAGCGCGTATGGGAATGTTGCGGGCCCTCGAACTTGTTCCACAAGGAGGCCCCATGAAAATGGCAACGACGCTCTTTGAATGCACCAAATCAAGGATCAAATCCTGAACCCAAGGAACTGTCAAGTCAAGCTGCACAGCCGGACCTTTCATGCGTCCCCTGTTCAAGAAATGGTCAACACCGAGTGATTCAAAACCGCATTGCCTCATGCAAGCAGTGACACCCGCCGTCCCACAGAACAGTTCTAAGAACGTAGCACCCTTCCTTGAGAAGTGCTGTGCAATAAGTGAGTCACGGGTGGAAACGGACGCGTCTTGCACAAAAATCGGCTGTTCGGCAGGTTCAGCAGGCACGTCGTTTATGCTTACGAGGAAGGGCAGGCCGCTTGCGAAGAGAGCGTCTCGGAGCTCCGAGTGGAAGGCCAGGTCATGCCCCCGCCTCCTCGTGCCATAGTAGTTCATGCTGCGGCCTGGGAAGATGTAGGGAGGATCGGCATATATGGCCTGTCGGGGTGCCTGGCGGGGCAGAGCGCGTAGCTAGCCCAGTGCGTCCTGACATCGCACGGTCACATTGCGCGGTGGCCGCTGCAGACGCCGCACGCTGCTCAGCGCCAGTGGCCGCTGCTGTGTGAAGGAGCCCCACTTTCCCGAGAAGCTGTTGCGCAGCAGGACGAATGAGCAGGCAGCCCGGCGCCCGGCGCGGCCTCTCTGAGTGCCCGGCAGGAGGTGACTGAAGTAGAAGCGCCTGTCTACCTTGCACCCCGCCAGGCGCAGCAAGGAGCGCAGGAAGTGTGACCCGTCTGAAAGCACCCTGCCTTGCAGCATACGTGTCTTCCTTTGGGACAATCCGGGCCGTTCTTGCAGGTCCCTAAATTGTACCCGAAACACACGGGACGATTGGAGTCATCAAAAGCGACACCTCCCATGAGCCCTTTCGGCATTGGAAAAGTTTGCCTCGCCTTCTTAGGCGGTGGTTGACCTGCCTTCGCAGGCTTCAACCGCTTCTTCACAGGGTTCTTGCTTGGAGAACTGCTCACATTTGGCTTTGAACTGCTGGCCTTTGCCACTGGCGCATGGGGCCTCTTGGGCCGGGGCATCAATTGCCACATGACACAAGGCATATCTAGGACTGTCGGCAGGTGTTGATCTAAGGGCATCACACCAGGCGAATTCGCAAGTCCAGCCTTGGTGGCCTCAGCCAGTCTAACATGCACCTCACGGTCTGCAGCCACAAGCTGGGAGATCGAAATCTTCTCAAAACCGTCGGGCGCAGGCTTCAAATATTCATTGAAAAGCAAATTGACCAGCTTCTCATGCGATTTGAAGCTCATTGCCTGCGCAACTTCATATGCCACGCCTCTGCGCTTCAGAGCATTGGAAATCTCCAAATCGGTGGTCAAAGGGGCCGTCAGCTTTGGCTCGTGGTGAAATTCCTTGATCACACCAGAATGCTTGTCAGGGCGCCAAACCTTCAACCCCGTGTCCTCGCTGATGCCTTTGACCTCTTGTGCTCTCGTAGTGCAGCGATCCCATTCAATATATCTCCACCTGCCATCTTCGACGGCCTGGGAAACATAATTGATGAGGGCGTGGCTTGGCTCCATGGTGTTTTCGATGAGCAAAGGGTCAAGTTTAGCCTGCAAAACCGCGATTCTCTCAGCTACTTCTGCGGGAGGCAGCTTTGCTGGAGGCTGTCCCTCTGCCGATTCCACCTTGCGTTTCATCTCAGCAGCAGCTAGAGTATACGACTCGAAATGTAGCCTCCTGAGCTTGGCGCCATCTGCATGATCGGCACTCCCCAGCAAAGGCTCAATGACCTTCAACACAAAGGCTGCATCATCCCCACTGCCGGGGATATAAGAGCATGAAAAAGCAAAAGTGGCATGCGTGTCCCATCCCTTGTCATGAAGGGAATCAATGGCCGTTTCGGCAAGCCCAATGCTGAGGCACCTAGCCTTAAAGGCGCAGAATCAACCAACGACATGTGCGGCCCAGGAAAACTGAGACTCTTTAGTCAGAGCTTGGGCAAGAGAACGGTCCTCAGACGTTCTATGCAAACAGAAAAAACGGTGCAAGTTCAAGCTGACTGACAAGCCAAACAAAGCGCACCAAGACTCGGCATGGGAAGAAACCGCCAAACCATGAAGCCTCTTTTGCACCGATTCAGGCTCAAGAAAGAATTGACCCTCTCGAAAAACACTGTTTGCATTTGTCTGGATTAAAGGCAGGAAGCTCACTCATTGAGACCTGCTCAAACATTCGGGTGACAAGGCGGCCACAAACGAACGTCCTGGCTTCTCCATCCTCAGGATCGACATTCGTGCGGGCAGATCTGTGCAGGGTTCTCCTCTGATTGAAGAGGTCAAAATCGGTGGTCAGGTGCTCATTGACGCCTTTGGCCATCTCCTGCACGTGCTCTGCTGCCTGCCTCTTCTCATCCTCGCTCTCCGATTCACTGCCATCAACGCTGCTACTGGTGCTCGACGTGGAATCATGTCCGGAGCCACTGTCGTGCTGCGAATCCAAATCTTCCGCATCTTGGCTGGCAGCGTCGCGAGGTGTAGGCTCCACGAACCTGCACTCATCTTCGCCAGACGGCGCTCCTTTGGTCCCGACGGATGTTCCAAAAGAGGCATCCATTGCCACTGCTTCTTCAAGGTTCTGGCAACCGATCCACCTCTGAGATCTGTTGTTGTCAGGCTGAAATCTTCCGAATCTGACTGCAATACACATGCTGGAAATGCGATTTAGAACCTCACTCTGAGCATCTTGCGAATATTCCATCGGGTTGAGCTCGGATGCCTTCGCATGGTACCCAGCTCGTCGCTGGATTTGCTGGCTAGCACCAGATTTGGCAAGCCACGAAAGCACTGTCGCCTTGCAGCTGTGCGTGCCAAACTGAGAAACATCTAGTGTCCCATCAACCATCCGGAGAATTTGCCTGAGCTTGTCGACCCCTTCGGTCGGTGTCATAGGCAGTGAACCCCAAGCTGGCCCAGAGACAATGACTGGTAGAGTGGGATGCCCTCGACCAGCCGCAAGACCAAATTGTTCCCTAATCTCTAGCCACTTCGATGCCCATGGATGACCTCCCACACCCGGCAGAGCTGCAGCAGCTGGCAGGAGCCTGTTGATTGTGGCTTTGCTACGGCCAATGGTTTTGTGGTGGTACAGCTGCATTTCCAAAAACCCATGACTGTCGCTCCCGTCAATCTTGGGTTCCTGTACTAGGAATTGAGCGTCCGAGAACCTCAGTCTCGCATATACCAAAAGCAAAAAATAACCCACAAGGATGGCGGTCTGGGGGTCACTGTGCACTACCAGACCTTCCATTGCGGCCACCACATGCACAGGCAAAGGAAGTTTCTTTCTCGGCACCAGTCCCCGAGTGAAGGATTTCACCGCACCTTGAATGCGTGGTGACTTCAGGACGTCATCCACATCTGCGCCCAGGAGACCCTTCGCAAAGGCCACAGCTTCAAAAAGACGCCGTGCCCTCGTAACAGGGGCCCCTTCTGTTCGTAGACTTCCTGCTCTTGAATCGGGAAAATATTTGCACTGTCTGGCCCCACCTCGAAGCTTTCCATTTCGAAAAGGAGATCAGCGAGAACGCCCTCGATCTCAAAGTCGAGGGGGCCTTATTGCAAAACGTGTCCTTCAGAGTTT